GGTCCACAAAGATAGATCCACATTTAAACTTGTCATCATCAGACTCTTTGCCGGCCGTGTGTTCTCGTCGTCCGAGAATTGGGCTGTCAAAGTTGTCAATCGAGATCATCTCCGCTGGTTGCAACTGCTTCCGAATGGGTCTCTTGTTGGAGTGACCCCCTCGTCTAACATTTGCTTCGGGTGTGCGTCTAGTCTGCTTGGACAGTTGGCAGGCTGGACACTTGGGTGGCTCCACAGTTTGGGTTCTGGGGAGTTTGGTGGGTAGAATCGGTGGGAACGGGGTATCGATGAAGTCACCTTTGACAGGAAACATCAGATCCTGTATGTGATGATGACCTATATGACATAAACGGTAATGCCCAGGTTCAGCTCCTTCGAGTTGCCACAGAGATTCCTGTTCATGGGATCCAAAAGCTTGGCACATTGGGTAAGAAAGTCTCCACTGCTGAGATGAAAGGTGGTATGCCGACATAAACCAGCAGTGGGTACCCAGTCCTGTAGCATCAAAGGTAAGTTGCTCCCTTTGTCATAAGGAAATTCACCTTTGGCTCCATCTGCAGTGGTAACGGTAACTTTGTTCTTTTCCAACAGCACACTTCCACCATCTTGCTCTTGGAAGTACTTCTGGGGACTGAACAGTCTAATCTTGGCACTAGGGACGTAGTAAGCCTCGGTTTGGATTATCACAATCCGACCATACACATCCCTTATGCGCCACTCAACCAGCCCTTTGCCTTTCACGGCTACTGTGTTGCCTATTCCTTGTAGTTCCTCAGTTTTGCATGGCTCAATGGGACGGATGAAGTCCTCAGAGAACGGTGTTAGAGAGAAGGAACAGCCAGAATCAATCACAATGGGTACGTGCCAATTGCTTTGAGTCTTCTCCATGTTGTAAGCGCCCATACGGTCATGATCCAAAGGCCTTTGGACCTTGATGTCGAGCTCTTCCAACACTCTTGCTTTTTCATAGTAAGCGTACATGCGTTGTTCCTCAGTTCCTCTGGAGGTAAACATGTGGTCAGTTATCAAACGCTCTTGGTGGAACCACTCGATCGGATCGAGGTTATCCAATAGAGCTGTGACCTTACACTTCTTGAACTGTCTCTTAAATTCTCTTGGTTTGGGTTTGTCTTGGGATGGCCTAGTCACGAAATCAAACAAGTCTTCATAACAGTCTTCATAACTTCCCACGACAACCCTTTGTGGCAGCTTGAAGCCTGGGGTTTCATACCAGAACTTCTTCTGTCTAGGTCCTACCAGTCGACACATCTTCGGATAAGGGACTGGTGACCTGTAATAGAACTTCGTCTTGTGATTCTCTTGTCTTGGTTGCATGCGAGCAGTATCACAATATTGACTGCATTGCCTTCGTTGTCTCCTAAAGGACTTCAGTCTGAAGTGAGCATGAACTGACCAGCTTGTGGTTCCAGTATCACACTTGTCTTGCTGTCTCACAGGACGTCTCCTTCGTGAGGCAGTGGTAGAGGCCTTTCGGGCTCTACTCTTCGGTCGCTTCAGCTTCTGGCTGAGACTCCAAGCCCTAAGGTGATAGGTGTCTTTCTGTTTCACCTTGGCCTGAGCTGCAGAAGCTCGCAAGGAGCGCTTGAGGCGCACCTTGGCTTTCAAACGGATACGCCATCCCAAATCAGTTGGACGATACCCTGATAGTAATACACAATCCGTAACGAACCCATCATAAGACCCTAAAGCGGACATATTTCATCCATATGGTAACCTGTGCCGGTGACTGCACAACCAGTCGAAGTAGGTCCACCAATCCCATCCCCTGTCACCAAACGAGGTAACAATTGGACGAAGAAAGGTAGATGAACCAGCATGTAAGATGAGGGTCTTGGAAGTCCAGTAACGAGGCAGGTCAACCACCCAGGGGTGGTGTCATTGCGCCTTCGTAAACTCGAACGACAGCTTGAAGGATAAGAACGGCAGGGAAAAGTGTGGTGTAGGATCCAACCACCACCAAATCAAAAGGTGGGGGATGGTCTGGACCAAGGTGGGGGCCATTGGAATGGATGCACGAATGCAGCCAGACCGCAGAGTCCTACCACGATGTGGGACCAGGAACGCATCCAGGAATCCAACACACGGTGAAATCACTGGAATCTGGCTTGGACCTTAGCCAGACTGGCCTGAATCCGGGCAACTTCAGAAGCCCTGTCAGTTCCAGTGGCAGGAGGAGGGGTGGAATCAGAATTGGAAGCATCAGCTGCTTGAAGGGCAGATGCCTTTTGGCTTCCAGTTTGGAGGCCGTGTAAGACAGCACTTCCTTAATCTGTGCCTTGTCGCGGTTGTGTAACTCTTTCTGATCCACCACCCAGGCTCCTTTCTTGGAAAGGATCATTGGGCGTCCATCTTCTCCTGTCTTGCGTTGGCGCTCGCGAGGAGCACTGTGTGATCCACTCTGAGAGTTTCCTGTTGAGCGAGCCTTCTTGGCATCCTTGAGGGCTTGCCTGTGCTTGTCAATCTTGTCCTGATTCTTGGTTTGGGACATTGAGGAAGGAGGTGATCGGGGCTATCACAGTTCCAGCACTTGCGTTGGAATCGGTACCGGATCCCCCTGAGCCAGAGCTGCCAGAGTTGGCATTGAATGCGCTCTGTTTGCCTTGGTCTTGGTAAGCCATCCCTTGTCACTCTGCTTGATCCGACGATACATGTTCTTAGCTTGTCACATATCACTTTGATCTCAGGCCAGATAGGGGTACTTCCACGACAATCAGCTCAGCTTTGACTTCTTCAATCCTCTTGATGAAAGCCTTGTTGACTCAGGGCACTGGAGGTAGCCAGAATGTGGAGCACTTTCTCTGAGAAGTCTGAGGGTACATAGTTCATCAGGTCATTGGAATGGTCTCAAGCAAGGTGTAGACGTGGATATCTTATTCACCGCCACATCCACATCTTCCATGGGGATGTCCTTGATCTTGAGGGAATTCAATGACTCTCGCACATTTTGTATGGCACTCTGGGATGCTGGATATGACGATACAACAGAGCGAACAGCAAAGGCCCACCATGACAGGTCTCAGGCCAGCTGTTTACTCGGTAACCTTCTGCAACAGTTTGGGGTCTGTGTTGTTCTGCAGAAGAGTGAAGGTTAGGGACATGTTTTCACTCACATAGGCACAGGTGCTTACGCGCACACAGGAATTATAGAAGTAGTTGCTCAAAGCCACAGCCTCAGGTGTATCTTGGGAGCATACTGTAACAAATCCATTGGTTTCCTTCTGTCTTCGAACTGTAGGTGAAGCCGAACTCTTCATCCTTTGGAGTCACAATTTGGAAGACATCAAACAGGTCGAAGTGTTTCATTGAGTCCTAAGGAGCTCGAATTGCGGTCAGACCGCTCAACAGCCGTGATGAGACCATTGGTGTCGAGGTCAGTAGGTTGCTCAACTAGCTTGTTGTCCTTTCCTAGAACGGTGTAGGATGTTGCCTTATTGATGAAGGTTTGGCGCGCCTGTGGTCGAAGTGAATCCTGTCCGCTTTGTTCACCATCGAGATGGAGTCTGGGGTGAGGAACCAGTTCAATTTCTATGAGGCGTCCGTCACAAGGAGGTGATCAACGTCAGGGTCAGGTTAGGTGGATTAGCATCACCACCACCTCCACACCACCGGAACAGTTGTATCTGGAGCGGGAGTCGTGGTCGTACCAGCCGGATCGAGGCTGTTTCCACAGCAGGAGCTGGAGCTGGCGAGGCAGCCGGAGCTGGCGTCGCAGCAGGTGTTGGAAGCTTCAGGATCCGACGTGACCAATCGGAGGTGGACGTACAACCGGGGTAGTACTGACAGCTGATGGGGCAGTCTGCGGGGGAACGCGAGGCGTTGCTGGAACAGACGCTGGGGTCGTTGTGCGTCACCATGAGCTTGAGTTTGCGCAAATTGTACAGCGCGAGCTCGTTCCGTGGGAGTTGTAACGGGCGGTAGCTCGTCAACAACGGGGTCCCTAGGAATTTGCATACTCAGGCGACGAGATCGTTCTTGGAATTCGAGGTCGCTCATACCAAACATACCGGAAGACCTACGTGTAGCACGATAAGGTAGCGGTGTCTGGCTGTTGTAGTTGGTCGTCATGGTGATCTCGTTGTTGTTCTAGTCGTTATCTCGCTGTGTGCTAGCTCGATTTCGACGTCGAAAACATCACCTTGTTCAGGATCTTTCGGGTGAGATCACGGGGGTGTCAGATTGACCAGGAGGTGTCACCAGCTGCAGTTAGCAGCCGTCTCCTGACCCAATCCGATGGCTAGGATCGAGATTGAGCTTGTTCTTCGTGTCAGCAGCGTCATCGACGTACTGCTGTGCGAATAAGAGCTCAGTCAATCTACCCCTTAAACGGTAGTTAGAACAGTCACATCGCCATCTTGATGTGCTGGATACTTCACGCTGAGTTCGAATTTCCAGGAGAAACTCGAGCTCGAAATCCATCCGCTTTACCACGGCGGAGTGGATCAACAACACCATGTTGTTGTTGTCATCTTCCAAATCGCATCGTCCCGTCATTGCAGCTCGATGTGGGTGTAAGCGTAGATCACGGCTTCGCCCTGCTCTACACTACGCGATATCTTCACTGCGAGAACGATGACGCTTTGGGCTCATAACCTACGAACTGAGGTCGATGTGAAGGATGACATGGTGGGGAGTTCGACGTAAAAGTATGAACTAAAATAGAGGGGAATTACGCTACGAGGTAGATCTTCATTAGGGTTGAGGTTGATCTCGATGTGACATCGCGATCACATCTCACAGATGTGATGGTTGGCGGAGGGATTATAAGAGCGGTTATTCAATTTTTAAGACATTCGTATGGATTTATTTAGGTGCTTCGCTCTCGCCGAAGCAAGACGCGAAACGCCATGGACCTATTTGGGGGCCTTCGGCCGGCCGAAAGAGGTGGGTCATTGGGCACACGGTGCATGATGCCGTGTGCTTGGGTCCTTCGTGGGATTCTCCTGGGGCAGTTAGGGCTAGTTTTGCGATGCATAATTCCCTCACACTCGGTGCGCTTGGGCGTGGCTCTGTGTGTAGGCAAGGGGCAGCTCGATGGGCGGTGCATAATGCCGTTGGACTCTGTTCGTTTGGGGGCCTTGTGCGTGAAAGGTTCTTGGTTTGGCATGGGACGGTGAATGATGCCGAGGGCTTGGGTCCTCTTCAGGGGCCTCTTGGTGCTTTGTGTGGTGGTGGGTAGCGGCATTTTCTGTTGCTGCTGTTGCGTCTGCTTTGATTCGCTTTTTGAGGGGATTTTGTGATTGCGAGAAGATGATCGTTCGAGAGTGGCCTTCGAGCTTTGCTTGACCTTGACACTGCCGTGTTTGAAGATTCTTCATGATGGTTTCCCCGACTGTCCCAGAACCGCACGACACGTTCGCTTCGAAATTTGGTCAAAATGTGAGATGCTGATCATGTTAGATTTACGATAATTAAGAAACAAATGCCCCTCATCTTCAATGTCACGTCTGTTCTGTGAGTACTATTTTAGGCGGCACATGAACACACCTTTTCCACGACGTAAACTTTGACAAGTAAGTGTGCTCACAAACGTTGGCCCGTCTCCGTCCATCGTACCCAGATTAGAAACGAACCCAGAGAGCTATCGTAGAAACATGAAGTAGTAGAGAGCTGTGCGGCCAAGAAAGCTGTATCAATGTATGCCTTCAGATGTGCAGGGGCACACTCAGACATGTTTTGTTCCGTGGCTTCTTATGGTTTTTAGAAATGTGCTCCCATCATCAGGGATCCACTCGTTTGCTGTCGACTGCAAACCGTCTCTGAGGCTCCATCTGTGATTCCGACTTGTCTGTGCGCAACGCAAGCAATTTAAACTGGCACAAGAGCCCCTTCCCAGAAAAGCTCATTGCCGCTGGCTGTAGAGTTCCCGACTGCAGATCTGTGAATAGATAGAATCAAGTATTTGTTCTACCACGTTGCTCTCCAGTTTGATACGATAGCCTCGAGACTTGGTATGCGGTAGGGAGCTGCGCAAATGTGAATCAGATATTCTCACCTACGAATTGGCCAGGGAGGGTTCAGCGAAGTGGTCGAGGACATGTTGACTCCGAAGAGCAAAGAACTACTAGTGGCATGCATGCTGTTCACTGGCGGACCGTACCTGTTGTTGACGAGACTCCAATCCGAACGGCCAAATCACCATTGTCTACGGCCAACGAACATTGAGCAGATATGCCTACGAGGAAGAGACAAGGGTTTGATGTGCCACTGTTTGCTTAGCTGAAACGAGAGCTGCAAGACAGAAGAACCAACGCTAACGGCAACCCGCCAAACAGAAGAACCAACATTACCTTGCACGAGAACGATCCAGCCAACAAACCAACAGCCCAAGAGCGAGCACTGGCTGAGATATCAGAGGAACCTTAAATGGCTACACCCCCAACAGAGCACGGCCCTTACATGCTGCTCGAGGACGAACCAAAGCAAGAGACAAGAGCTACTCAGCATGATCAGTTCGCAAAACCGTAATGGGCTACCTTGGAGCCTGATCAAGACCTTTTGCTCTGTCTCCTGTTGAGAAGAATGCTGGCTGAAAGAAGAGTTGGGTTGTTTGACAAGGCAACGGCGTAGGTAGGCTAGTATCTACAAGACCTCCATTGAGGCATGGATTCCCCTCCCTGAGAAAGACCCCTCCCTCCTAAACACCTCGACGTTCGGCTTGTGGTCCACCAATTCAGACCGGCACATATTAAATAGTAGCATGCCAGGCCATAGAACGTCTTTGCAGGGCTGTTGGATTCAATGGCAATATCAAAGAGCTCTGGGAAGATGTAGGCACCATAACTTCCCATGGCGCTTGTCCAACCCAAGACCGGTCCGGCGAGCTTGGTATCATAGAGTACACCAATGGTTCGAAAACTTGTTCCATTGATTCCACCCGCAGAAATGAACACATTCAACGAGAGAAAGACAAACAGTGCAAATGTGTCTTCGGGGTGATCCAGGGTAACTGTTCTTTTGAGGAGAGAACCCAGCCACATGCTGATGGCCGCGAGCCACAGAGTAAGCACCATTGTGCAATTGGCGCCACCCCAGGCATCGGCTGCCATGCCTCCTACGGGACGCAAGAGGGAACCCACTCCCGCACCAATCCACGCATAGGAGAATGGATTGGGTGCATCCGGATTGACAATGACTTCTTTCGTCCATGTTCCTCCGTGATCCAAACAGTCATCTTCGGCTCCCCGGCGGTAAAGACACCTTGCTGATCACTGCATCCCCATTCCGGTGATTTTCCGTAGGCAAACTCAATGAGTTTGGGAAAGACAGCGGCGTATCCGATGAAACAGGAAAATGACATGATGTAGATAAAGGTCATGATCCAAGTGTGCTTGTTGTGGAACATTTCACCTTGCTTGCGAACGCCCTCTCTCACGATGGGTGGGCTGACATACCAGAGGATTAAATGCTCAGCCGAACACGTCAATAAGACGGCCAAAAACTTGTGAGCAATTTGAACTTCTGCCGATGTATGAAAGAAGGATGTGTTTCAGGTAAAGACCAGAAAGAGGGCAGCCACAGCTGCACCTAACAATCCTTGGGCATGCATCAACGGTGGGAATGCTCATTAACAGATTGCGAGTGGCAATGTGACCTCCGTGACCTTCCCCCATTGTTCTTCGTTTTCCGGATCCCACGAAGCCAACTTCGACTTGACCTTGAGGCGCCAACGGGCCGACTCTTCGATTGATGCAAGGCCAGAACGCTCCAAATCATTGTTGGGATTGCTATCACTTGTATTGAGTGGATCATTGCGGGATCCACGGAGATAAATTGAGGGCCAACACACGGGCCAAAGGGAGTTGATTTGCTTCCTTCAGCACATGGGATCCCCAGGCCAAAACCTTCCTCGCATGACAATGCATAGCAGGTGGTCCACTGATCCAAAAGAGTGGAGTGTTCTGGTGAATGGTGCAAAATTGGCAATAGTCACTGTGGCTACAACTGTCGAAATGAATCTCTTTTGCAGGCTTCAGGCATGGCGCTACTAGCTAGCGCTTTCAATTATGAAGCGGTCGAGTTGCATGTTGCTGAGCCAGAGCTGGCTTGCTGAACGCAGCGGTGAAGAGACCAGAGAGAACACAAGGACCAAGGAGAGAATTTGGGAAAAGGTGCATCACTCGACTGAACATCAAATGCTTCCTTTTACGGTCCAAAACTCGATCGTGGCTTTCTCGTGTTCATAAGAACAGTGTTCATAAGAACAGGCGACCAGCAGCATCGAACACGGACACGCAGCTACGGACATGGATGAGACAGAAAGCACTATTTCATGGGATGGTTTAGAGAACAGAGAGTGGCATTAGAGAGCAAAGAGGCGGCCAAAGGCCCATGGAAGATAGTAACCACTCCCTTTCCCGTGTACGTCTAGGAGGAGGCTCGCCGTCGAAAGCCCGCGAAGTACAATACACCTTGGTGCCACGGAGAAAGGAAATCTTGGTTGCAATGCCGTATGTTCACTTTCTTCGGTTGCCTGGGCGTTTTGTTCGTGTGTCGTTTGTGGTATGGGCGATGTTTCTCTGGGCAGAGGACGCCCTACCGTAACATACCAAATGGCAAGCTGCAGCAAACTCTATACATCCAGCTCAAACACCGTCTTGTGCTTGTGGTCACTTCCTTCGAGGCAACTAGAAGCGCTTTCGGTCGTCATCATCTCTGTAATGTCTTTTGTAGAGATTGATGGTCCAGAAGAAGGAAACTTACTTTTCACTTCCTGGATCATTTCTGATACGATTTCTTCACCGCAGGCTTGAAACTCGTCCCGGTTCTTCAGTGCCCAGTTGAGACACTCGTCACTACTGACCCCGAAAACATTGCTTTCCTTCAACTTCTTGGCAAGAGGAATGACGTAATTGTCAAAAAATCCAATCTCCCTGAAGAAGGATACAAACGAAAATGTAAGGGTAATGAATGGGAGGGAAAAGGGTAGGAAGAGGGACGCTGCACTTTGAACACAAACTCACCCTTGGTACCAGAAACGTGACGGGTCCTGCTCGGAGCGCCCAGCAATATAGGCACTGTAAACCTCCTCAAACAACTTGGAATTCCATTTTCTGTAGACGTTCCAGTGCTGTTTCCAAAGACAAGTTCTACGGTGAGAGGAGAGCAACAACACAATCTTTCAGCCAAAGCGACCGCAAGCTTACCTGCATCGTATGCGAGATGTCCGAGGCTTGCATGATGTGCTCAATGATGACAGAAGATCGAAGGTCATCCAAGTCTTCTCCAGACGATCTGTATTCCTTGCTCGAAGAGAAAGCCTTCTCCCAACGCTCTTTTCGGAGCTTCTGCAGTTCGGCATCAAAGATATCGGTAGCAACTATGCTGTTCACGAGCACCTGGCGGAAGTGTTGCAGATCTTGGTTGGAATGGAACAAACATTCCTTGAGAGCATGGAACTTTTCATCGTCCATGAGTAGCTCGAAGGCCGTATCAAGGCTGTTTTGCTCTGCGGGGCTCTTATTTCCGTATTTGGCCGCAATCTGCTCGTCTTCCTCGATGAGCCTGTTATTACTCACGCCGCGGTGGTCTGCATCGTGTATCAGCGTACTAAAGAGGATTGCCAAAGTGGTTAACCGGTCGGACTTGATCCTCTGTATGTACTCATGGCCCCTAGGTGCAACTAGCCTCTTCAAGTACTTGCTGGCAGCCATTGTTGTGTGACAGGCATGCTCAAAGCAATGGAACGCGTTATCCTTTGGATTGGATGAAACATATTAGAAAGTGGATTCGATTCGACGCGAGGTGAGATCGATTCTCGAACTCCTAGAAAGAGGGGACGAGCAAACGAGAGCTGCGTTTTGACTCACATTGTACATGTTTGCAATTGCTTGGACATACTCGGTGAGCTCGGAGACCACTTCCTGCCCAACATCCATTCCAACATCGACGTTGGGCGCAGGGACCTTCGAAAGAACGAGAACTTCGGAGACCTCTTCTATCGAGGATTGTCGTCTGTAAGGATGCTTGGCTTTGAATGTCGTTGCCTTCACTTGCTTCCTCGTGAAAGCCAGCTTTTGCAATTCTTCCTTCAGAGTCTTGACAATCCTGATCCGCCGCAACGTAATCGGAGAGAGTTAGCGCATCATGCTCTTGAGACAAGTTGCTCCTTCGCTTGCAGCTCTTACCATTCTACAAGCCGAGATTCCTTCTCTGCCTCTTCAGCGGGAGATATGTTTTTCTCCTTCTCACCGTGCTGGCAGCAAATATCGTCGTCGTCGCCGACCATCACGCTGCCCGGGATTTGTCCGCTATTGGCTGAACGCACGGATGATGATTGTGTCGTTGACCCCCCTCTCGAGCTTTTGTCTGGTATGACTAACCAATACGTCTAAGTACCGTCGTCGATTTGGGTGAGATTTCGTTAGCTCGAATTGTTGCAGCAATGACGACACGCCCATCGTTCGTTCGTACCTGCATCGCTCCCTTGCCCTTCGCCTGCACAAGGTCGTCCCTAGGCGTCAACCAATGTTCTTTTCCTTGCTTCACTAGCTCATCATACGTTGAATAGGAAACTTGGATCTTGTTCTTGGCACCATTACTGCGATGTGGTCAGAAGCAGCAGAAGTCGGGTTAGATTTCAGGTCTTTGGAGAAGCTTCATTGGCGCCAAAGTCTGCGAAAGCCTACCTTTCCATTCTAGCAGCAGTATTGACCGTCTGATCATTCCAAAGAGAACAAAATGTTAGTTTAGATTCCATTCCACAGCAAAAGGTTGAATGTGCGTCCTTGCAGGGTTTACTCACATCTCCGAACAGCTGAAATCGTGCACGGTCGCCCTTGAGTACACCCGCAGTTACAGGACCGCTGTAGCGACGAAGGACACGACAAAGGATTGTGAGCTGTTGCAGGCTTGATCTTTTACGTCGCCCACACAGATGCAAAACAAAGGGACCTACCTGTGCATCCCCACCCGCATTCCCAGCTCGGATGTGTCGGGTCCGAGTTTTTTCCTCAACACCCCCACCACTCGATTCATTCGTTCGATACAGTCCGAAGCAAACTTTTTGGTACGGGACAAGAGATTGTGAGCTCATGTAAGTCAAGACTTGTCGACTACTTGCCACCTGACTAACTGATACAGGGACTCGACTCACCTTTGCCATGAGGATCGCGTGCAATGGCTGTGCCTCCGGTAAGCCCGTGACGGCAACGTATGAATCCCCAATTGTCTCGACTGGGAAAGTGGATTGGCGGGTCGAGTGTAGGTCATGGCAAGAGAATCAGAATCAGAATTGAACACGGGCAGTGCAAAATTCTAAGCAAAACTGTAACCAACCTTTGAACACCTTCCTCTTCTTGGCGACTGCGAGGAGCGTGGAAAGGAGGGATACTCGTTAGTGAGACTTTTGCACAGCACATCAAGCGTCGATATCATTCAAACTTCAGTACTGCATGGTACAAGCTCGGAGCAATGATTGTCGTGGAAACTACTAGCCAGTAACTTACTTTCGTCAAAGGCCCCATAAAGAGTCTGCAGCAATTCGAACACCTCCGCCGGTTCCCTGGTAGATGACCAAGCCGTGAATCCCGCAATGTCGCAGAAAACTGGTTTGGCAAACATGATGAATCGAATCTGAGTTGAGTACTAGTACCATACGAAAAAAGGCCACGCACACAAGCAACCACACAATCTACCGGTAGCAATGCAATAATGCAATAACGGGACATGAAACTTACAGACAGTGCAGTGCGGATATAGATCGGCAATGGGTGCATTTGGATCACGGTTTTCAAACCCCTTGAAATTTCCAGCACCTCCTCCGGTAGCCTCTCCCAAAAGCTGATCTCGGATTTGCTTGGGCTACACAAACCACAAAACAAACCACAAGAATAACCCGGATGAGGGATCCATGCAATGACATGACACTGTGAGAGCACGAACTTGCACAAACTTACAAAGAGCGACGCCACAAGGGCCGTGGATTTGGTAGCCTTGTGCAAGACTTGTTTTTGTCGGTGATCGACAATTCTGTCGTATACTCCAAAGAGGACCATGAGTACGGCAAATGTGGCGGCAATGGTCATGGTGAGAATGGCGGGGTTGTAGGACTCGAAGGACTCTTTGTAGTCATCCGTGGGATAGACGCGAATGGAGTAAGGACAATTGTCTTGATTAAACCCGAGTCCTTCCACAGTGCCATCCTTCAAAACCGTGTTTTCGAGGCGTGCTTCGTACAGGAAATGGTCCAACTCGGTGTTGTGATAATCGCCTTGTCCCACGAGCCGGACACTGGGACCGTGAATTTCGTAGGTAAATGCGCCGTCGCAGTCGTTGTGCAATACAAGTGTGACGGAATCGTATCCGGACAGGACCTCTTGGAAAAAGAATTTCCAGCGAAACGTGGCGGCAATCATGGCGACCATTTGTTTGGTACTGGTGGATGTGTTGGTATTGGTGGATGATAGACTGTCAAAGATGGGAAATACAGCGTGTGCCATGGGATCCCCGTGATGATAAACGGGTGCCCCGGAATTCATGGATCGGAGTGTCGCGAAGAACGCCGTTTCGAGATTGCTGGAATTGATGGTTCCGGGAGGAACCATGTGAAAGCGCCCTACAATGACGGCTTGTTTGTCAAAGCACTCTTGCGCCAATTCTCCTCCATCTTTGCGATGAAACAAATCTTCATTGACCCAATTGGCATAGAGGACGGGCGATGTTTGCCACCGCGGTAGCATGAGATCGGGTGCCGGGTAGAGTCCACTGGAGAGTATGGGGGATCCCGTGGCGGTAAACGTGTGCATGGGTGCGACGACTTCAGTACGATTTTGGTAGCCCCACGTACGGGCAACGGCTTCGTCGTCTTCGAGGTCGTCAATGCCCAACTCTTGCTGCAACGCGTGTCCTTCGGCACTAAGAATGATAAAAAGACAGAGTGAGACACGGCCCTGATCTAGCTAGCTAGTCTAGGTAGCCTAGCTACCCTGTCTAGCTAGCTAGCCTAGATAGCCCTGTATAGAGTACTTACATCCAGTGGTTCTGTTGGCCATCTAGCACAAACTCTTCCCACTGTTCCAAATGGTCTACCGTGACGAGTGGATTGATGGACACGTAGAGCGCTTGCGACGAGTCCATGGCGGCTCGTGCTCGTTCCTGAAAAGCCGACAGAGTGATGAATGGCCAATTGTTTTGCTGTTGAATGCCTTCGGCCGTGACGGCAATGGCAAGTTGACTGATAATGGTAATCTTGGTCAAGACGGCTTCAAAGCTCTGCACGACCTTGACGGCGTTGGTGCGGTACTGCGCTTCAAAGTCTTCGTCGTCCCCCGTGGCCGTAATGCTATAGATCAACGCACACACGGCACTGGCCGTTCCCAACAAGACAATCGTCACGCCACACCGTAAGCGCCACACGGCTTTCAAGTCCTTCTTGCTTAGAATGGATTTCTTGATCTTTTCGTGCTCATCTTCCAAATCGTCGTGTTCCTCGTCGGCTTCCACGCTCTCTTCAGACAACAACGAGTCCGCACTGTTCACACTCATGTTGCCATCTTTGCCATCATCATCATCATCATCCTGAGGCTCATCTTGCCAACGGACTTCGTTCTTTTGGATTACTCGTAGTGGAGTTGACATGGTACTGTACGGAAGCTATATACCTGCGAAAACACCGATAAAATAGTAAATGAAGAAAGAGCCAAAGCAGAGGAGACACAAAACAATGAGCAGAGGAGGAAAAGAAAAATATTGTGGGGAGAAAAAAGTGCTTCCGCTCGAATTGAATTCCTCACTACTTACTTTCTACTTGTTCTGGTACGTCTGTAGGTACTTGTACGCGGTCACACAGTCCTCGAGACATGTTGGATGATGTATGTGTAGACCGGTATATTATAATGCAAATGTTATCTTGAACTTGGTGTCAGTGACTATGACCATTGACAGCTACTACTAAGTTGTTTCCACGTGTCCTTTATGCATTGGAAAATATCATTTACAGTAATCTATTTAGGTATTTAGGTACTAAAGAACACTCTTGTGATTCCTAACCATTGTGAACTTTTTGGATACTCCACGCGTACTTTTTGTAGCAAGTAGCGCGCTAGCGCTGCGGGATGACATTCTCATACAACATACAATCGTATGCAGCTATCTCTGAACTGGTACACTGGCATCAATCAATGGCTCACTGGCACAGACGCAGAAAAGAGAAAATAATAATATTATATCTTCATATCTTCTGCAATCCATCTGTCTCTTCAAAGAACCCCATAGTTCTTCCGGATGCCGCTCCCTTCCCACTTTCAAGATCACTCCATACCTGAACACAAGAATTCAATCTCAAGACCGTTGTAGTATGGTACTCTTACATTGCGAGGAACAGTTAGTTGAAACCGCAGCAGTCGGGCACCTACCGTACTATGAAATATTTTCCTACCATAGCCAACGTTTCTCACAGTGCTCATCCTTTTCAAGGCATGGCCGGAGAAGGAGGTACTATGATAGCATTTCAATCCTCGAGTCGAGTCTTCCACATCTGCCACCAGCAGGGCGAATGTCCTTGTTTTACCTGCATGCATCATTGGTTACATACTGATTGGCTGATACGGTATGCTATAGACTACATCGTACTGTACTGGTACCATACGGTAACAAACAAAACTTATCTATCGGTACACCGCAGTGTAAGAAAGAAACTGACTACCAGGTACGGTTACTGTACTACCGTAGACTACTGTAGCCAAACGTAGCAGAGAAATCCAAAAATTAGCCCCGACGAATTTAAGGGTACCATTACTTCTTATAACCGAGTGTAGAGTACTCTAGCCTGTTACGCCCAATTCTAAAAAAGCATATTACTAGTAAGCCTTTGAGAGAGTTCTAGACTACTTTCCTGTTATTGGCACTTCTCCGAGCAGCGAGGAGACTCTGCATCATGTACTGTACGGTACAATGTACATGTAGCTCGGAGTGTACATCATGAGATCATGAGCTACATGTACTAGTACCGCTACACTTTGCATCCTTTGACATAGTGACGATCCAGCTAAACTGAGCTCTTAGTACGCTTAAGGCATAAGTAAACCTACCTAGGAACTTCAAGGTCCAATATTTTCTGAATTGCCCTTTTTTACTTCTCTTTGTGGTCTTTTAAAGGTCTTAAAAGGGGGAGCCGTTCACCTTGAGCCATCAGAAACAAGTTCCGGCATCAAGAAAATCATGTCAATTGTGGTGTCATTGCGATGAGGCCGGCTTTAGGTGTAAGCAATTTTGGTAAACTCCGAAAATGACCCAGAACTTCATCGACTTTTCATCGCAACTTGGAAAGATATATATGGTCTGTACCAACTGGCACACGAGATTCTTGACCGCAACTGCAACTTTGCCCAAACATTGCATTGGAATCCTCAATGGCCTGATCGGTTTCCATGAAACACTCAAACACAATGTACACTGCCGACACGATGAGTAGCAGCGCCTTGTTTGATCCGCTCAATACCAGTGGTACCGGTATCGATGAGTCCAACAACAAAGATGTGGAGCGTTCCGGCCTTGCATCAATCGAAGAGTCGGCCGGTTGGCACCGCAAGGTCAAGTCAAAGTTGGCTTCATGGGATCCCGAAAACGAAGAACAATGGGAGAATGGCCATGGAGGTCACATTGCCACACGAAATCTGTTGATGAGCATTCCCAACATTAGTGTGGGGTTTGGTGTGTGGGTGATTTGGACGATCGTCTCCAAATCCATTCTGGAAGTTCATACAGCTGATCCCACCTTGTACGCCTTTGAGGATTGGGGGTCCCCACAAGGTGACGAGTACAAGAGACTCGTGTCTTTGTTGCCATCCGTTGCGGGACTCTCGGGAGCTACACTCCGTGTCTGCAATACATTCATGACACATATTGTCGGTGGGCGAATCCCCAATGGACAAAATTCCATCTTGCTCATGGTGCCCACCATTATGATTGCATGGGCCTTGAATTCGACGGACACATCATTTTCTGTACTCCTTGTGGCGGCATGGTTCACGGGAGTGGGAGGGGGGGCCTTTTCCTCATCCAACAATAACATTTCCACATTGTTTCCCAAAAGCCAACAGGGATACGCCTTGGGATTCAATGCAGGCATTGGAAACTTTGGAGTCTCGCTCACACAGCTATTTGTGCCACTCTGCATTGGTACTTCCTTTGGCAATCAACCCTTGGCACCCGGCCTAGAAGTGTGGCCCAATCATGGTAAGCAAGCTCAAGTGCAGCCCTCACACCCAAGTGATTGACAGATTGCTTCACTAAACAACTCACACATCATGTTCGCATGTACATGAAACAGCTGGATGGGTATGGTGGCCCGTGGCTCTTCTCGCAGCCATTGGAACTTACATGTGGATGTCCGACCTACCGGAACATGGAAATCACAAAGGAAACAACGAGCTCTGGAACACTATTTACTTTTACTGCCTGCATGCCCAAGGATTGCTAGGTGGGGCTGTGGGGGTCCTGTTTCTCATTGCAACCCGAAACAGCGCCTTTTTCTATACTTCGGAAGCAGTTCAAATCGCTCACAAGTTTTTGGCCGTCTTATTGACATGTGTGGCAGAGCATCTGATCCTCTGGTATGTCAGCCCACCCATCGTGAGAGAGGGCGTTCGCAAGCAAGGAGAAATGTTCCGTGACAAGCACACTTGGATCATGACCTTTATCTACATCATGTCCTTTTCCTGTTTCATCGGATATGCCGCCACGTTTCCCAAACTCATTGAGTTTGCCTACGGAAAAGCACGGGAATGGGGATGTACCGATCGGCAGGGTGTCTTTACCGTTGGGGGAGCTGAAGACGACTGTTTGGATCATGGTGGAACCTGGACCAAGGAAGTCATTGACAATCCCGATGCACCCAATCCATTCTCCTATGCATGGATTGGTGCAGGTGTGGGTTCCCTCATTCGTCCTGTGGGAGGCATGGCGGCTGATGCCTGGGGTGGCGCCAATTGCACCATGGTGCTCACTCTGTGGCTTGCGGCAGCCAGCATGTGGCTCGGCTCTCTCCTCAAAAGGACCATTACCCTGGATCACCCTGAAGACACATTTGCGCTGTTTGTCTTTCTCTCATTGAATGTGTTCGTTTCTGCGGGTGGAATCAATGGAACAAGTTTTCGTACCATTGGTGTGCTCTATGATACCAAGCTCGCGGGACCGGTCTTGGGATGGAGCAGCGCCATGGGAAGTTATGGCGCTTACATTTTCCCAGAGCTCTTTGATATTGCCATCGAATCCAACAGTCCGGAGAAAACATTCTATGGTCTGGCATGCTACTATTTAATATGTGCTGGTCTGAATTGGTGGTACTACGTACGACCACAAGCAGAACGCCGAGGTGTTTAAAAGCAGGAGGAGCCCCCCCCTCAGAAAATGAATGAGTGCTTGCAAGGTGGAGGGAAAGCTGTGTCTCAATGGACTTCTTGTTGATATTCAAGCATGCTGAATTAGTGCAGTGTACATCCACTCTTCAAGGTTATCTTTGTCAAATGTGTGTTGGTTGTTGGGATTCAATCAATGCTGGATGGTGCTTCCAAGCATGCAGCCGGGAATAACAGTAATGACTTGCCTGGATTGCAGATGCAGATCAGCTCTGGGCATTGCCGCAAACACAATGGGATCGATCGAGTCCATCAAATCCATTCGAATCCAATCGATTGGCTGTCATTTGCATGAACCCACAGTGAGGGTCCACTATCAGTACATAAGGGGCAGACTGCGTAATAGCTGCTGTAAAATTTGGACGCTGCTTCCTCGGGAGTCTCATGCAGCAACCTCCCAACAGCAGAGCGTGTGAATCAGAACACTTTCTCGTGGGAACACCCTTACTCAGTGGTGCGTGGCTACGTTAATGCTTGGCTTAGCCTTGCTATTATTCGGGCCTGCCACCTCTGCATAAATGGCTCCCGTGTCCCTGCTGGCACAATAAGCTACTGCCGTTCTCTCTGGGATGCCAATGGTGCACTTGCACTCTTCCGCTAGTCTTGCCCCTTCTTGCTCCCTCTCGAGTTCCCCTCCTTTTGCCAGCCGCCCCTTGCCCTGCTCTACCACTGCTACCCAATACGGGTCCCGATGGCACCGCTCTGCCTAGCTTAGCCCCCCCCCCCTGCTCCTTAACGTACCTATTTAATATTTATTTATTTATTTTCCTTTCTCGTAGTAGATCAGGGGGTTTTAGAGTAGGGAAATTATCTACGGAAGCCAGCCGGGGCCAGGCTTAAGCAAAGAACAGTCGAAATTCAGGACTAGGTTCTGTGGGATCAGGGGCAAGAAATTGAGGACCATTACGGGGGCAAAGGGTTTGGCTTTGCGGGATCCACGGAGACATAATGGGTAGCTTTCACAAGGGGCAATTGAGACGGGTCTGCATGAAGACATCATTTGAGAGTAGGAAAATGAGTTTTGGAGGCAGTAGCAGAAGCAAGGCGTTGTAAGAGAGTCTTGGCTTGAGGGGCAAGCATGCCATCCACTGAAACAACAAAGGGGTGGAAGGAAGCGCGATTGGACTCGCACGCATCTTTATATTTGGAAATTTTGTCGCGTCTTGTTGGGTTAAAACTTTGACGGGATCTTTGTTGCGGTAAGAGGCACAGTCCAAATCAGTGACACGTACGTCAATAATAGCTGTAGTACCTCGTTCAAACAAGCGCGAATGGAAAGATCACCAGTAAGAGCTCGGGGGCTGGAGGGGGATTGAGAGGGGGGGGAGGAAGGGGAGGTAAGGTAGAAATTGGGTGACCGGCAGGGATAGTAGGGCGGGAACAGATGGAAGGGGTGGTTCGATTGGACGCTAGAGGAACCAAAGCATTCACATGCAATAGAACCAAGTTCATTGCGGATTTCATTATGGCGACGGATGATTAAGCCACCGCGTTTGCAATCCAGAGCATGTGGAACGCTGAAGGGACCAGTACAGCCATCACAAAGAGCTGGAAGAGCTGGGGGGGTAAGACCGAACCGGAGAAAGAGAGCATCACGCCATTCTTGAGCGGAGAGGTGAGTGCGTTTGGCAATATCGGGCATGACTGCAAGCCAGGAGCCAGTGCAACGAAAGGAGTTGAAATATCAACCCCTCACCATTTTCGGTACAACAGCCACCCACCACCGCAGCCACTGCTTTGCCTAGCTTCGCCCCCCTCGCTCCTTAACGTATCTATTTAGTATTTGTTTTTCTTTTCGGTTCTTCTCCCTCTGACGGTGCAATAATATGCCTACGACTCCCGATCTTACGACAAGTACTGGTAGAAGCAGTGCCAATCCTGCTGGTGGGATGCCACAGCCACAGCAAGGACAACCCGATGTCGAGGATGAGTCGGTAGTGGACCCACCCAGCTTGATCGATATCCCCAGACCAGAAGACATGAGCTGTGCTTCGTCGGTGACCACTCACTTCCAAGATGCTCAGCTATTTGTCCCTCACATGTACCCATCAGCACAGACTCTACACGATACCGATGATGTAGATCATCCCACCTTTCAGCCAGTCACACAGCAGCCAAGAGGACCGGCAACGACACCTTCAGGTTTGCCGCCGCTTCAGGAGGAATTATCCCAAGACCCCACTGACAGCTCGACTACCGGTATCACTACGCGCAGCCAAAAATTGGATAAAAATCGAATCCTCAAAGAACAAGAAAAGAACACCAAAAAGGAGGAATCAGCCAATGTTCCCTCAATGGCTACCTTGGAATCGAGAATCAACCAGGAGACCCAGATCTACCCGGTTCGACAAATTTCCTTTGAATCAGTTCGAGATACTGGCATTCATCGAAGCATGCAAAAGGAAATTTGTGAGGATGACCTAGCCAAGAAAATTGTTCTACAAGGTGGGGGCCAAAACAAGGATTTACCAGTCGGTAGAACAGACAACAGCAAAGCCGAGGTTTCTAATGAGTCCTCTTCTGCTGGGCAAGATGCTAGAACCTTGCCATCACAAACAAATATTCCATCCCTTGCTCGCACAAATAGAACTGTGGTGCACGAGATTATACCAGGAGCACACGAGAGTATACCAGGAGCACATTCTGTCCATCCAGTCGGATTCGGATTCACCGAGCAAACACATCAGCCAAGCAGTGCTGGTAGTATGAACGCTGACGATGATGAATCAGATATCCAACCACCACCACCACCCGAGTCCTTGGCAGAAGCAAGACCTGTTGTTGAGGATGAGGATGACCTACCCATTGCCACAGCTGAAGATGGCCGTAGGAAGGCCCGGCAGCAAAGTAACTGGCCTTTCTATGCTATGAAAGGCCTGTGCATCCTTGTGGTTGTTGCAGGCATTATTGCGGGGGCTGTCTGTGGTGCAGGGCACTGCAGCCAAAAGGTTTATGTGGACTTCAGTAGTACCATTGCGCCTACCACAACCAGAGATGCTGTAGAAGCACCAAAGATTGAAATTGTTCTGACCAGCATCCTTGGCAAGGACTACTTTGAAAAGGTGGTGGCAAATGGAAAAGGTTATGATAGTGATATCCAAGAGTTCATGCTGGAAACAAGGCAAAAAGCTTTTGATTGGATTGTCAACAAGGATCCCATGCAGTTGGAGTATGACTCTCCCAACTTGGTACAGAGGTTCGTTTTGGTTCTCTTCTACTACCAAACCACAAGGCACAAGCCATGGAAGGAGTGCAATCCACCTGCAACTGGCCGAGGAAGCGCATCAGTTAATTTCTGCTATGAGCCAGATTATTTAACTGGCGAAGCAACATCAACCATCTGGGGTGATCACTGGCTCTCTGCCAGTCACGAATGCAAGTGGGCCGGCATAACTTGCGCAGAAAAGAAGCAGACAAATGAAATTAATTTTCGTAATTAATTTTCGTAAGAAAATGCAAAATGGCTCATATTGCTCGATTCATTCTCATATTTCTTTGTCTTGGTTGTTGCTCTAGGATCGAATCAGCTCAATGGCCCTCTTCCCTGGGAGATCGCATATTTGCCTCAGCTAAAGGAGCTTGTTTTACTCAGCAACATGTTGACTGGAGTGTTACCCCAAAAGCTCTTTTCCAATCAGTCAAGCCTTACCCTGGAAAACCTTCACTTGGAAGGAAACAGATTAACTGGGACAATCCCAGGAGAATGGTTTGTAAATCTTCAGGAAGGAAATGGCAAACTTTCCAACCTTCGGATATCTTCAAATAGATTGACTGGGAAGATTCCATCCGAAGTGGGTCTGTTTCCTTTGAAGCGGTTGTCTTTGAGCAGAAATGCACTGATTGGGTCCCTTCCAACAGGACTATTTGACCAAACTTCTTTGGAGTGGCTCTTTTTGGGTGAAAATGAGGTAAGTCGCCACTCCTACTGTCCTTTGGCAGGTGATCACCAATACCAATAAATGACTCAACTTAACTCCAATTCTTGTTTGTTTGTTTCTGTTGACTGCAGCTGACTGGTTCCCTTCCCAGTGAAATCGGACTTCTAACTGGTTTGCAATACCTAGACTTGAATCACACTAGCATTTCAGGGTCCTTGCCCCCAGAAATTGGCCAGCTACACGAGTTAAGAAGCTTGAGGCTTTTGAACACCAGAATGAAAGGGACAATTCCTGAAGCAATATATTCTGAGCTGAAGAATCTAATTGAACTCAGGCTCAGCAAATGCAACTTCTCAGGTACAATCAGTTCATCCCTGGGTCTGCTGACAAATCTAGAGTTACTGAAACTGGCCAACAACCAGTTCCATGGCACCATCCCAGATGAGATTGAGGCATTGACACTACTAAGGGAACTTCTGGTGAATGGGAATGATCTATCTGGCACAGTTCCAGTCTCTATCTGCCAGCAATTCTATGCCGAGGAAAAAGCTTCCAAGGTTGTGGCTGACTGTCTGCCCAATCCAGAAACTGGAGTTCCTTCCATCCAGTGCCCTTCTGATTGTTGCACCAGTTGTTGCGACAAGACAGGAGTTTGCCTAGCGACTTGATTTAGGGTTATCCTGTACCCACCACCATCAATCTACGTACTATAGATATTGGTTAGATAGGATGAACTAGTACGCTAGGACTTTGCTGGATTTAGTTCTGCTGGAAGCCAGGAACAACGGCGCAATTTCATTCGGAGGGTATGCCCAGCGGGCCGAATTCAACACGTCACCTGGATCCAATGACCACACCATGCAGTGGGGATCCACATCGTATTGCCCGGCTCCCAGTCTGTTTTGCATTGACCAATGGATTCCAGGAACGAGCAGTTTCACTCGACGAACATGGCACAAAGAGTTCCTCTATTAGGACCTCGCCTTCAACTGCAGTGTCACCCAAAACAATGCTCAACAGATCGTTTTGCAGAAATTCGCTAAAATTGGCGGATCCAAGCAAGAGCCAATATATAGATGTAGCAACCCTAATATCCCACGACATGCACTCATGTGACAGTCAGTCTTGCCCGTTTTGCCATCTCGGTCCGCTCTACCATGTCCTCTCGTGTTTGGTAATGACACATCATGGAATCGTCTTCGCAATTGGCATGCAACGTACATACACCATGATGTACGATATCATGCTTTTCAAACACGCCCTCCGGTACCAAGACATCCATGATGCTTGTTTCGTGAATACGATAGTGTTCAATGATAAAACTCAAAAAGTTGTCGCTGTGAAAGCAAAAGCCTCGCTCCCAATGGTTCGCATTCTGATATGCCTCAGCCTTGACGTAGGCATCCATCAGCTCAATCAGGCTCATGCCGGGTTGATGCAAGTCTTTCTCCATTGCCAAATTCTCGGATAGTTTGTGAAGAACGTGCTTCTCCCACTCATCATTCGCGTTGTCGGGTAACTCCAGAATGGGACGAAGCATACGTCGGAGACTTGCCTTGGAAAGAACCAGTCCCATGCCACCATAGTAAATCACGTGTCGATTGGAGTGATGCGTCCTGCAGCCGGCCGCCACGTACGGAGAATCTGAATTTGTTGTACGGAGAATGTCGACGAGCTTGTCCATGTCGTACCAAGTATCGTCGTCCACCAATAAGAGATAATCTGGCACCTTATTGTTCTGATTGTACCCCCTCAAGACTCGAGCCAATGCCAAAACAAGGCGCTTTTGGGCACAAAGCCACCCCGGTCTCAGTTTATCGCTGTCCCACAAGAATCCCAAGTTGATGTTCCTTCGCATATACCAAAGCGCGCGATTGGTCCGATACAGCTTGTTGCAGACTTGTCGTACATTAACAGCTTGTTCGGTAGTCAATGACCCATCACGACAGGCTTCGTCCCAGTCGTCGTCTTCGGTACCGTGGTAGACCTTTCGAATGAGACCCCCGTCACTGGTTGATCGAGCCCATGTTTCAATCTGCGCTTGGAAACGATCCAGTCGAGACTTGGAACCAATACTGAGGACATCCACATCGATACCCACCGTTCGGGCGGTGGTAGAAAGTAGGAGGTTGGGAGTAGCTGCAAGATCCCTATGAGCGGACTGTTCAAAGTATAGCATGAAGCACTCGTAGGCCAAGAGAAAATAGAACAAGTTCACGAGAAGTCTAGTCACGACCTCTCTTCCGGTCCAACTCGTCTGCGCCATTCGAGAGCCCCTCTGGAGTTTCGTCATGGTGGATAGATCGATAGACACAAGGTAGAGATCGTTTCCGTCTGGTTTTGCTCTTTTCGTTTTCTTTTGTTTGTTGGAGAAAGCAGAGCCCGCGCACCTCGGTCGGTCGTCGGAGGTGCGCCATGGTGGCATTGCTGTACGTGTAATTCGAGCACTGATTCGATCGAATACCGTTCAATTCGATTGATCCACCCTCATTCGAATGATCATCTTCAATCTCTCCAGAGTACGGTATGATACTACCGGTACCGCACTGTAAACTGTACGGTACCGGTGCGACCACAAACAGGGAGACCGAGCCTCCCACATCCCGCTAGGTTCGACAATGATGCTTCGTCTACTGTAGCTATCGTGCCTCGGGGCCTCGACTCTCATTGCTACCCTGAATCTACGAGGCTCACGACACGGTGACTCCCGGACCGATGGCACCGCCCAATCGTTTGATTCCGCTCAAAAAGTACGTCTCAGCTAGGACCTGTAAGCAAGCCAGCTTCATGTTACCCTTGAGCTTCCATCTAGGAGCAACTGCAGTTTCCCTTCCCAGCGAATGGAATCCACGTGGTGCTCTATGGGGAATGCATGACGGCGGTGGTGTGAGATTCCCGGTGTGCTTACAAGAACGGTGTCTGCATCCATAACACGCTCGTGGTTAGGTAGGACGTAGTGACAGCTTGAGTTGGTGGTGGGGTTGTGGCTTTTGAATCGCGCCAGTACACATGTACAAAAAGGAGACCGTGATATCGTGATTGCACCTTGCGATAACATGTGGGAATCGTCATTAAGTCTTCGGAGCCTTTCACAGTTCATTCGCACTTCATTAGGGGTCGCAGTGTCGCAGTTGCTGCAAAAATGAAAACCACATCCGGCAAGTTTCTGAGTTTCTGTCCCCTAGCTAGCTAGTAGAGGATGTGCGAGTGGACGAGTACCACTACTAGCTAGTATCACGATATGCAGTGGACAGCCACTGGAGCGAAAGCAACCAAAAGATGATCGAATGTCAGCGACGTGATGGCATCATAAAACAGAGCGGTGATCAACACGCACTGATAGGTCTCATCCACGAAATCGTCACCTTGTTTACCATGATTCGCTGCTTCAACAAATTGGTGCTTAGTAGTGTTGTTGATACAGACACAGTGCGCAAGGAAGATGCCTCTTTGGTTTCTCCAAAGTCTAACAAGAAACAGACAAAATCCCTTCCTGAAATTCAGAAGTTGATGCATCAAGATGATATCTGGATCAATCAGATACTACCATTCTTAGGACTCGGGCACTATGCCTATGTTGGTTGTGTCAACAAGAATCTGAAGCGGTTATATCAAGAGTATTGTGATTCTGCGAAGATTCCTCCTCAGGTGATTGATCTTGAGTCCCAGAGTAACACAAGTAGACGTCAAGCTACCAGCACTGATACCTTCATCAGAGTAGCATGCTTCAATGTCTCATGTGCTGCATACTGTGCGGCATACTTTTTAAACCAACAAGAGCTTTCACCCGAAGCTATTTGCAGCATCATTGCCAAGATGGGGAACCTTCAGGTTCTTCAGTGGGCCCACAGCCAAGGGTATCAGTGGGATGTTTCCACATGCAAAGAGGCTGCCAGCGGTGGGCATTTGGAGCTTTTGAAATGGGCAAAGTTAAACGGATGCCCCTGGGATGATAGTACATGCCTTGCTGCTGCGGAACATGGGCATTTGGATGTACTAGAGTATACCCATTCCAATGGCTGTCCATGGAATGAACAAACATTGACTGTTGCTGCAAAGCATGGGCACACAAAGATTTTAATCTGGGCAAAAAGCAAGGATTGTACCATGGATGCCAGTTTATGTACCAGTGCTGCAGAGGGTGGGCAATTGGCCACCTTGATATGGTGCCATGAGAATGGATATCGACTGGATGAAACAATTTGTATTGTTGCCGCAGCCAGTGGGCAACTGAAAGTTATCCAATGGGCAAGGGGGAAAGGCTACCCTTGGAATTCACAGACTTGTGCAAGTGCTGCTGGTGGTGGACATTTGGAAACACTGAAATGGTGCCATGAACATGGCTGTCCATGGAATGAAGATACCTGTTCTGGTGCAGCGTATGGTGGGTATTTGGAGGTGTTGGAATGGGCCCGAGCCAATGATTGCCCTTGGGACAGCACTACATTGACGTTGGCAGAATTCAATGGACATGTCAAGGTGACAGAATGGGCTGAGGAGAATGGATGCCCAGCATCTGAATCTCTCTTAAATCTTCTAACTCTATGAGAGAAATCCGTATTCGAACGGCACTATTTTCTCGTATTCTTGAGCATGCTACACGCACCATGGACAATGATTTAGCCTTTACTTTCTTGCAGTGTCTTTCGCGATGGAGCCAAATGTATCGTTCGGCTATAGATGCATGTATGGTGGCATTGATACCGTAGCTATGACGACGATGAGCGGTATTGCGGTGCCTGCAAGAGCGGACGTGCCTCCTGATAGAGGAGAAGACGGGGCCCAAAGTATTGGATTAATAAAATCCAAGTGCTGGCTAACTCAGTTCGGGCCGGTCACATATATCTGTAGAGCACCCTTGTCGGATCGGATCCACTTGGATTCCATCAACGAGCGTATCCTGAAGCGAGTACCATTTTGGTGAATGGTTTTACAACACAATTTACAATTTTGTGCGAGTCAAACGTTTGTAACTCTCACTGCAAGACTTATTAGTTCTGTGCACTACCCTTTCTCATGTCCTTTTGATCCCTCCCGTCCACTGCATGAGGTATCGAATTATCGTGGGCTCTGCTCGACGTACAGCTCGGTGGATCGCAGGACGATCGATGGGACGATTCGATTGGAGAATTGTTTTGCTTTGGCATCACAGATGGATGTTTCATCCTATTGTATGTGTAATTGCACGGCCCCTACTCCCGCACAATTCTATTCTAAATTGCTAGTCTTCCTCTTCTTGTTTTCCACCCTCCTTAGTTTCTTCTTGTTGTTTTGGGAGCAACAGATTCTGTGGGAATGTATACCCCAACTGTAGCAACATTTGGTCGGTTTGTTTCATCATTTCCTTGGTTCCCACGGAAACGAATCTAGCCTGAGCTTTGTCGTCTGGTCGGAATACTTGACCGAGTATCTGCGGATTGATACGGCCATGGAGACATTCTTCTTTTTCTTCTCGAGAAAGAATATGGACCATTTGAAATTTGTTGGGGTATTGTTCTTGCAGTTGTTGAATGGAATCCTTCCAAAACGTATCTGCCGTGGTGCGTGATGCCCATAGTAGCACCACTTTTGTGGTACCATCTTCTAGTGCTAGTTGTGCACGTGCCACGGGCAATCCCTCGGTGATTCCCACCCCAAAACAAATGATACCAACAAAGGCTCCCGGATTGTGTTGCTTGTTTTTGCGGAGTCCAAAACTTCCCACCGTGTCTCCCACGGCCAATCGATCGAGATATCCCGACGCTCTTCCATCCGGATAGACTTTGAGTGTCAAGTCGAATTCTTGGTCCGTTTTGCGGCACATGGAATAGGATTTTGGTTTGTAGCCGGGAATCACCATCTTGACCACGTCGCCCAGTTCCATGCAAACCGACGTATGGGGAATCATCTTATCCTCACTAGTAGTAGTACTACTACTAGAAGTAGCGGGAGTGGGAATCTCAAAGGTCAGTGTATGAACGGGCAATCGATCTTCAGCCTCGTTGACCAAAGTCACCTTGCGAATCAGTTTGGTGGGCCATCCTTTCCAAAAGTGCTTTTCCTTCTTCTTCTTGTCTTTTTTACTCTTCTTCTTCTCCGTCCTGCCCTCTTCCTCTTCAGGAGTGTCCTCCTCATCCGACTTGCGCTTTTTGCTGGCACTAGACATCGTCGTATTGGTTGGCGTGGTACATGTACCAGTACAGTAGCTGTTGGTTTGGTTTGTCTTTTTTTTAGTGCATGCGTGTGCTTTTTCTTTTTCCAGCTCCCGATCTCTCCAAGATCCGATTTCTTCAAAGATATAAGCCAGCGAATAAACATACATACAACGTAGTGAGGTGAAGCGTGTGTCACCGGTACCGGTACCTGGTACCGCTACGACTGTACGACTGTACCAGCACTTCCTTTTCTTGGGAGGAAAAAGCAAGTCGGACACCTACCCTGGCCATCCTAGAGCTAGCGAGTACTGGTAGCTGGTGGAGGAATTCTGCATTGGAAAGCCCTTTAGCTGGAGGACGTTGCAACAGTTGCAACGACCGAGTAACGTTGATCATCAAGTGGAGTGAGTGAGTCGAGTCGCTTTCGAACATCCGATTATCTAGCAACGTGTGGGTGGTGAGCTGACTGGCTGTCACTCAGGTGACTCGTCCGGTTGCGGAACTGATTTGAACAGAGCGCTGGCGACATGGATAGATCGAGCCATTGCGTTTGGCTGCAGCTGCAACCTGCAACTGGGTTGAGGATGAGCGCTGACCCAAGAATGGATGATGAGTCGAGCAAACCAATATATGACGTACCGGTACTAGTACCGGTGCGGTACAGGGTGACCATAATATATGTACACGTAGTATGAACTGATGTGCCCACTGGTTCATGGCCAGCACGGGCGACCCAGAAGCCAGAAGACTTCTCTTGGGTGCGCGGTGTGTCGCGGTTCTTCTTGCAGAAGGTGCTGGCAGCAATCTTCGGATTGTTGTGTCCTCTTTTGCACAATTTCGTGCTACTCTTGAAGCAACCACCGGAAATTTTCCGGACTGCAGAGCTGCTGTAGCTTTGCTGCCATGAAGTCCTTTTTGTTGATGCGGAAAACACTACAGGAGGACTACAGGATGAACTCAACCAATATAGCACCTACACAACAAAGATTAATATATAAAGTTATCTACATTCTTTGCTTGTCGCACCCATGTGCTTGTTGTAGTGCTCACAGCCATGTAGCAGGCATTATCTTATGTCAAACCAGAATAAAATGGTCAAAAATGAAAGCCCTACTTTGCCAGCCATTCGTTGCTCCCGTGGCAGCCGAATGGGCAAGCAGCTATCCCCACTGCGACGGGCATGTCCAAATTATGCATTCCCTATCTCAAAGTATTGTCAGGTTGACTCTATTGGTCAAACTGCTAGGGGTATCTCCGTCAGCATGAGCTGATGACATTGTCAACAGTGAGTTTCTTTCAAAAATGGGAGGTGTGGAGAGGTTTCCCCTGAGCGGAAAAGAATTTACCCCGTCCTTGGGTAGATTTCCGGTGGTTGCTCCTTTTCCGGTGGTCACTCCAGGAGTTGAGAATCAGCCAAAAGAGCTGCCAAAAGTCAACACTACACAATGTCATAATGTCATGTCCAAGGTGCCAGCGCATCAGAGAGAAGCCAGAACCTTGTTGAGCCCCAGAGCTATCGGTACATGTAACTATCATAGCTAGCTGGTAGGCCTGCCATCCAGTTACAAGCTATTTCATGCATCCACCAGCCAGCCAGAGCACTGGCTACTCTGCACTCAGAGTGCCGGTAGGTTCCTTTCAACCCTGCCAAAGCGACTGTGCCGACCGGTACTCTTGTACTAGCTAGCTAGCTAGCTAGATAGTAGAGTGGCTGTGGATTTCACTGCGCAGGTACCAGCAGTCTGTTTCCGAGACGGCATCACTGCTAATAGTAGTCATGATGTGACCACCGAGTGGTGAAGTAAGTGAGAATAGGACATAGAGAACATTTATTTATTTGCTCTGCTTAGCAGGGTTGCTGGTTCAACTAATTTTGGATACGAACTCTGTTCATGACAAAAGTTCGGGTAACGTAATGCTCATGAACTGAACCAGTTCGTGAATACCCCAATTTTGAGCAGCCTCGTGAACCAATTCATGAACCCATTCGTGAACCAAAACCTAGGGTTATGGTTAGCAAATACAGGGTTATGGTTAGCAAATACAGGCTGTATGCTCGTATTCAAGAACAAAACGCCGATACATTGGGTCACCAAACCTGGCACAAGTGTAGCTGGTGGATAGTTGGACTGAAGGTGGCTTTGCAAGTCAGGAAAATTTTGCTTACTAGACATGTGTTGCCTCATTTATGGTGCAGAATTCTCATGAACCAAAAATGTGGAAAAGTTCACCAAATTTTGTATTCTGATGAACTTTGAACCTAGTTCATGAGTGGCCCAAACCCCCCATGAACCACTTCATGAACGTGCGCTTCATGAACCGGTTCGTGAACCCTAATTGAACTATTTCATGAAATATTAATTGAACCAGCAACCCTGCTGCTTAGTGGAAGGAAAGTGTTGCTTTTAGATTCCTTGGCCTGACGCTAAATCGGCGGGATCACCTCTGTGACACCCTCGAAGACTCTAAGAAAGCCCCTAGCCCCTGAGACAAGAGTAGTGCGCTCTATACCAATGAAAGTATCCAAGAAGTCTCAGCACCTTCTCCAATTCAGGAGCAGAAGAAAGAAGAGAAGCTAGAGATTTAACATTGAAGAAGCCGAGAGGCCCCTCAGAGAATGGAGCGAATCCTGGATCATTTTGTCGAACAACTCACTTGGACGTTTTACGGGTCCTGTTCGTTGTTCGTGGCAACCTGGTTCGATTCGCCAGCTATTAATATCCGCTTCCGCATCACTTCATCCCATGGCCCATGGGTAACCTCTGTATTGGTTGTTGCCAAGTAAGTTGCCAAAGCACAATAACAGACAGAACAGAAGGACGACGCTTAAGCCAAAAAGACGCAGCACTGCACTCGATTTAGTTCTTTACGCAGCTCAAGTAAGATGACGGAAAGTTCCTCCATGGAGGATGGGTCCATGACGATCACAGCCTTGCGCAAAATGAGTGCAGGTGCAGACACTACTTTTAACAGCGACGATGACGATGCTTCAGGACTCTCCTGGGGGACCGGGAATAACTCGTCCTATATCAAGCGACTGAGTGGCATTCGAGGGTCCTTGAATACCGTTGGACGGAGGGAATCCATGAAGGAGTTTGCACAACGATCCCAAGAGTTCAAGAGTGAGATCAAGATTCTAGCCAACAGCTTTGAACGAAAAATGTCGGTGCGTTACAACAATGTTACCAAGGAATTTTCCGTCAACAAGTTGCAGTTTCACCGACTGGAATTGGTTGGACGAGAAAACGAAAAGGAAATCTTGAAGGAACGACTCTTCAGTCTCAATGAAAGAGTCCTCCAAGATCAGGCAGAACAGGCAGCTAGGCCCTTCTCGAGAGCTCCCTCCGAGATGCGTACTTCGTTGACCAATGGAAGATTCTCCTCTAGTCGATCCAGTCTGGCAAATGCTGATCAGGCAAGGCCCCATTCACGTTCTCCCTCGGATATGCGTACTTCCTTGAAGAACGGAAGATTCTCCTCGAGCCGATCTACTCTGGCAAATGGTGAACGGAATCACGGCAGCCCTGGTACAATGGTCGGACATCGAGAGCTCATCATGATCACTGGGGTATCGGGTTCGGGCAAGTCGGCTCTGGCTCAAACACTTGAAGATCATCTCAACCAACAGAAAATGGGCGTCTTGGTTCGTGGCAAATTTGACCTCAAGGCAGCAGAGGAGCCTTATTCTACCATTATCAGTGCTTGCCATGATTTGGGAGTCAAGATTCTGAAGCTAGCTGGCCGTATGGATGGGCTCGATGAGAATGGAGGAGGAGGAGCGAGAAGCAACAAGCAATCCTACAGGGAGATTCGAGACCAACTCCGCCGAGAACTGGTCGGTATGGAATTGCAAATGCTGGTGCATACCATACCAATTCTCGGTGACATTCTCATGGACCGAGTTGATTTAGATTTAGACGACATGGACCAGTCAAACTATACCACTGGTGAACTGATCAACAGAGCCTCTCAGCTTCGGACCAGCCAGCAGGGAAGCAATCGCAGCAGAGGAGTGCACAACAGCATTCAAATGGGCACCCGCAGTGGTGGTGGTGGAGGTCCCATGGTGGAGGGCCAGACACAAGAAATGCTGGAATCAGCATTCCGAAAGTTCTTTCGGACAATCAGCTTCTTCTTTGCTCCATTGGTTCTTGTCTTGGATGACCTGCAGGTACGTTACTGAAAATGAAAATCATGCTGGTGAATTCTGGTAAAGCATGGTCATATAACTAACCTCAAGTCGTTTGTTGTTTGCTTTCTGGTGCATCAAGTGGTCGGATATCAGGACACTTGAGCTGCTCAAGCTATTGCTTTCGGACACCACCAATCCACATCTCATGGTAGTCGGCTGCTACCGATCTGATGAAGTAGAGGAAACACACAATCTGGCACAAGTCGTTCGTGACTTGAAGCATGACAGCCAGAACATCGGCTTGACCGTCACGGAGCTCCACATTGGCAACTTGACTCCCACGGATTCAAACGAAATTGTCATGACGTTGCTGAACATCGATGACCAAGCAAAAACACAAGAGTTATCTGACCTATGTCATCAAAGGACCATGGGAAACCCATTTTTCTTTCTCATGTATGTGGAAATGCTGAATCGGGATGGATTGCTCACATTCAACTTGGGAACCTTTTGTTGGGAGTGGGATATTTCCAAAATCAAAGCAGCCACTGGAGCCACAGCCAATGTAGTGGACTTGATGACAGAAAAGTTCTTGAAACAGTCCAAAGAATTGGTCCATTTGCTCAAGCTGGCTTGTTGTTTGGGGAATATCTTTACAGGGGCAGTACTGTTTTTGGTATGGGCCATGTCACCAGACGTCATCAAGGCAAATGATGAAGGAACTGCTAAAGATGAGCTCTTTCATCAATTGCTGGAAGAATCCATCGAAGAGAAGTTCCTAGAACGATGTGATGAAGGTACGGTGATCAACAGTGCTTGCAACCAAAGAACCTGCCACATCAGCTCACTAATCTTGCTGCTGTTGTTGCAATCACTAGGCTTGCGATGGACCCATGACAAGGTCCAAGAAGCTGCTATGATGCTGGAGCCGCAAGAAGACTTTGAAGCAAGAAAGTACAAAGTAGGGCATACTCTCTATACCTGCTTGGACGGAGAGGACTTGGAAGAGTACTTGTTTTGTATTGTCAATCTGCTGAATGAAGGGTCTGCTCACAGATCCGCAGAGCTTGCTGAGCTCAACCTAAGGGCTGCCAAGAAGGCCAAGATCTACAACGCTGTATCCCTTCAGTCGATGTACTCTGAATTAGGTATCGCCAACCTACCCAATGATTGCTGGACTAGTTGCAAGGACCTAGCCCTGGAACTCCACATTGTCCGAGCGGAAGCAGCCAGCAGCATGGGAGAATTCCAAACTATGGAACAGAATTGCAATGTTGTGTTTAGTCAAAAGGAATGTTCAGTTCTAGACACGATCCCATGTCACAAGGTTTGGATTCATAAGTTTGCCAGGCATGGAAATTACCAGGAGGCTTTGAAACTTGAAATCAATGTGCTGGAGAAGCTGGGATGCAGGATTCCACGCAGACAGCTTCCTCAAGCACTGACAGCCATATCAACTCTACTCCGATTCAAACGAAAGCTCAAAGAGATTACTCCAACGGCTCCAGAACTACAGAAGATGCCCTTGATGACTGACCCTGTTCACAAGAACGCAATGTCATTGCTGGCATCATTCATTTTGCATGCATATGTGACACAAAACTCTTTGCTTTGGTTGCTAGGAACCATTCGAATGGTCCATCTTACACTTGAACATGGCTTGGCGGATCAATCACAACTTGCTTTCTCCTCAGCAGGAGTCATGATTATGCATGCCTTGGGTGACTGGGAAATGGGAAAGCACTATGCGACACTTGCTCTCAAAATGCATGACAAACTAGAAGAGAGATCGCATCGATCATCAACCATGTGTGCATCGCATGGCCTTGTTATTGCCTGGATGCATCCGATGCAGGGTCAGCTTCGGTGGATGATGGAGGGGTACAAGCGTGGGATGCAGCTTGGTGATATTGAATGGGCGTTCTCCAACATTACTGTCTATGTTGAGATGGGTTTGATATCTGGTCTGCAGCTGCATGGACTCTCTGATGACATCCGAATCTACCTGTCGCAGTTTGAGAGTATGAGCACCAATGGTGACTATTCCAGGAGAACACGTCTTATCTGGCAGACAGCAATGAATTTGATGGGTGAATCGGAAAGCACAACACTGCTCTGTGGATCAGCAATCTCAGAGGATTACCTTTTGGAGGAGACATCAACCATTTCAGGAACCTTTTCAAGCCTGCTTAAGAGTTTTCTTTGTGTACACTTTGGCGATCATGAGAAAGGAGCAGCACTTGCTCTCAAGAGAGGCAACAGTGTGTACGAACTGAGTCCTGGTCACCCCTTGGGGATGGTGGATCCGTTTCTACGAGCCATGTCACTCTATGCCATGGCTAGAAAATCAAAGAAGTCCAAGTCCAAGTACCAACGTCATGCCAACAAAGCACGGAAAGCTGTGAAAGCCTGGCTGAAGAAGGGCAACCCAAATGTGTATCACCAACTTGAGCTCCTCAATGCTGAACGAGCTGCCCTCTCCATGAGCCAAGACACCAATGAACTGTATTACAAGGCTGCACGACTGGCAGTTCGAGGGGGGTGGATTCATGATGCTGCATTGGCAAGTGAACGACATGCAGAATACATGCTTGAGCAGCATGACAAGGAGGGTGCAACCAGCAAACTAGAAGAAGCAGTTGAGAGATACAGCACTTGGGGTGCAACCAAGAAAGTCTCTCAGCTGCAAGACATGTACTCTGACCTTCTTGATTTTTAAGCGACAACCCTCGAGGATTGACAAGTTTGGTGGGGTATCAGAGTCACGGCTTCGCAGGAAAGTCCTTCTACATGGAGTGCGCCAACCTGTTGCTTGCTGATGCAAACCACCAATCAACATGGACCCGTGCCATTGACTACATGTCAATTTTTATGCTCTGGGCATCCCACTACAAACTAGTAGCTTGCTCACTGTTCGTATTACTTTTGTCTTTCTATATCTTTCTGTAGCTAGCTTGACATCTATTCCACTGTTGATAGTTACGTTTGATAGTTGCTAAAGATAGTGGACATAATATTTGAGGACTGTCCATGCAGTAGTGCGATCTGCTGCTGTTGTGATCTGGCAGCCAATAGTGTCTGTTGCAGCATGCCGTAGCTCCACGGTTCGACATGGGTCTGCTACCCAGGATCGGGTGGCACTCCTAGCTAGAAGTTTGGACCATCAGAGTCGAGTCGCCACCGCAAGCAACGAGCACAGGGAATGGAAGCCGCTGGGTTCGTTTGAAATCTTCACTCAAATGTTCCTGCAGCTCAAGCTCTGACATGGCTAGAAGGCAACACTGCATGGTACAGGAATCTTCACACAATTGTCCCCTTTTCCTTTCAAACCTTTCTTATCGAGCTGCGTTGCACTACCAGTATACTCTGTAAGTTGTTCGAGAATGGTTTGGCCGACTGTTTTACGATTCTTCGATGTGCTTCGTTCGTGCAGGATCGAGTTGACGACGGGACAACGTCGCTGGATCTCAGACCAATCTTCTTGCCCCATTGAATTCCACCCACAGCGTTGCCATTCTTTCCTTCCTAGTCCTTTCCTGTGCCATTCACCAAGAAGGGGCGAACGTACCATTGTGAACTCAGTGGGGGGAAAATCGGGCCAGCGGCAAACTTCGATATGGCTGCATTTCCCTTCGATATCGTCAACGTAAAACAGCGGGATCGTCATAGGGATAAGATCGCACGTCTTTTCGCGGAAACCAATCCACTGTCACTGAACAATCTGCCAGGCCGCCCACGAAACTATCAACTACGTGTGTTTGCAAAGGACAGAGCGTACAAAATCTTCTCTATGATAGACAGTCAGCACGCGAACGAGGGAGCGTCGTTGTCAGGAAGCAGACAACCACTTAGACAACAACAATGAAAAGAAAGAAGGCCACTGCTTTGCTTTGACGACCTCGTTGATTCAATCGGCTGCTTCGCTTGAGCTGCTTCGTGGCCCCGATGCTACATGTGCGTAGTCAGAGTAGTGATCCCCAAAAGCAGCCATTATGCTTGCTACCGTAGTACGTAGTCCGGGTCAAGTTGGCCGCCTCCGTGTTGGCTATCAGCCTGACATCAAGGCAGGAATCAGACTTCATGAACCGCAAGCGTGGAAGGCTCTCGTGGAATCATTCAAGCACTCCTTCCTGGACTTTCCGCTTGGTAGCGGTGTCGGACAGAGTGGGTAGAAATTCCTAAGCTAGCAGCTAGCTACCAGTACCGAAGTCAGCAGCCAATTTCCCTACAACGACCAAGTGCAATGACGCCCATTTCCGATCCTGTCGGAAGTAGATCGGGCACCTTAGCCGCCTCTGCGGTGGGAAGGGAAGCATTGGTGAGTTCAGCTTTTACTCCATTTAAATTTTTCTGAAAAACGTAAAACGTCAAAACGAAAAAATGAGGGTAAACACGCCAGGTCCCAGACAAAAAGGCCAGACAAAGTGACAGTGGTAAGCTCAGTGGCACCTGTACCAGTGACTCTGAGTAAGTATTTAATTCATTGTTACCCTTTCGAATCACAAGGAGTTAGTACTCTTTGAGGGCAATTGTATTATCGTCAGTGTCTGCTCCTGAGAGTAGAAGTGACATTAAATTTAAAAATCCTGGTGCAGCTAGTGTTCACCGGATTGAGACGTGAGGGGATGAATGGATCTGATTTACAATTGCCAAACGACCAGCTTGAGAACGATCGAGACAAGATACTTAAAAGTGATGGTTTTGCTGACAACGTCGATTTAAGCCTAAAAGTAGGAGAGTGTCTTCCTTGGTTTTAAGTTAATTTTGCATCTTGTTCGCTCCGACTTTTGGTGGACTCAACTTCTCATATCCTCAGACAAAACCCTCATTCAAGACATCAGGCTCAGCCAACTGCTCTCCCTCTTATGCATACTCAATACAGTACTGTACCACTTTGGAATAGGTGCATCATAAGCGGGTGAAACTTCATGAGGCTAACTGTTCATGGAAGAATGGATTTCAATTTGGGTACCGGTACCTGGTTGTATTGTGACTTGAAGGAATTTCGTGATTCAGCTGCTGATTTACTCAGAATAGCAGCTGGCATCTGCAATGGTGGCATAACTCGGCCGGTACCACTGTACGGGTGTCGGTACCTCGTACCTGGTACCGGTAGCGGTACGCACCAATACCGGTAGCTAGTCCGCCATCCAGCTAGCTAGGATGTAGACTACCGGTGCTATCACTTCTGTTGCCTTAGCTTATGCATACAGTACTAGTAATCTTAAACAAAAGGCAAAACGAATAAATAACAAGGAAAGGCCTCGTTCTTATTGCTGAGCTGCTGAGCTTCTTTGTCATTAAAATGTTGGAAAATGGCTTTTATTAAATCCTAGCTGCCGATACCAGCAAAAAAATCGGATGCTTCAAAGAATGCATGCCAAATAAATGCTTGCCCCCCTGGTACTGGGACTACGTGAGTAATACGAGCACCTTTGAACCCCTTCCATTTCGCCCACTGGTACTGATGACTACTATTAATACGAGTACATGATGTACCGGTTTCTACGAACAGCTCTTTTAAAAATCTGTTGTTGTTTGTTATTTACTTTGTCCTACTGGCTCATTTTCTCGGTCGTAGTCTCTTTGTATCTAAAACACTGGCAATCGCTCTTTGACCTAAGCCCCTTTCTGGCTCATCCATCATCCATCAACTCTCCTTCTGATCTTCTAACAACAAGAGACAACAAGTATGCTTCCGACCACAATCAAGATTTCTAGTATGAGTATGGCTACTTCAGAGAAAGTGGAAGAACGAGTGGACAGCGATGGCACAGTGATCAAGACCACCACGACGACAACGCGCAAGTTGGACGGCACCAAAGTAACCAAGCGCAAAGTCAGTCGCAGCAAGACACCACCTCCATGTAGTATGGACTCGAGCATGAGCAGTCATGCTAGAAGTACGCCTCGTCGGTGCAAAACGCCCACGCCATTGGGTCGTCACAGTACCGGCAGTCGCAATGTCATGACGGGCACGCCGGCCACCAACAATCCGTTGGAGCGCATGAAAGGAGCGTTGCAATTGAATCACATGCCGAGTATGATGGATTTCAATCGTCATTCCGATACGGCCTTGTTGGAGTCGGCTGTCAAGCGGTGTATTCCGTCCGAGTTCATTCTACTAGCGAGTCAAGATGAAGTCACACAAGCGCAAGAAGACTACTTTGCCATGGATCACTACAAACTGCCAAAGTTAGCGTGCATTAACAAGGACAACAAGGCTGGTTCGGTGGCGACCTCTGCCTTTTTGGAGTTGTTGTTTGAACAGCCCAAACGATTTACAGGAATCAGTCACATGATGACGTGTCATCAACTCCTCCAGACGCTTCAACGAAAAATCAAAATTGGATCCAAACTCCACAATGCTCGTCCCACCATGTCGTCGTCACGACCACTGGGACCTCCTCGTCTGGCAGAACGACAGTATCAGCATTTTGCCATTGTCCCACCCAAGTATTCCACGGGAACACGACGGGCGCTTCTCATTGGAGTCGTTTCCGGAGAAGGTCCTGATCTCAAAGCACCGCCCAATGACGTGCTCCTCATGAAACACTTTCTCATCAAATACGCCGGATTTAAAGAATCCAACATTACCATACTCCTCGAAAATGATCCCCACAATTACAAATCGCCCACCAAAGCCAATATTCTCGCAGGATTCGCCAAACTGGTCCAATTGAGTAAACGCAACGACATTAATTTCATTCAATACAGTGGCCACGGAGGACGCACGCCCCACAATCTTCACATGATTCCTGCCGATAACCAAAAAGCCGGTGCGATTCGCGATGAAGATATCATGAAAGATCTCGTCAAGGCCATGCCCGCCGGTGTCTATACCAGTATGCTCGTCGATTGTTGTTACAGTGGCACCATGGGCGATTTGCCCTACATTCTCAAATCCAACAAGGCCCTTCAAGAAATTGAAATTTACTTTGATACCGATACGCGTCAAGAAATGCTCGATCAAGAACGCATGGGTGGAGATGCGTATACACAAATGAAACGAGAACGCAATACCCAACGATTGTTGTTCAATTTGGATCCCATGAAACTCGTGGAAAATGCCGCCGTGGCTGCATCGGCAGCGGTCCAACGCACCAGTGCGGCGGCAGCGGCCAGTAGTGCACTGGCGGCGGATACCATGAAACGCACCAGTGCTGCCGCGGCGCAACAAACGGCGGCAGCGGCTGCTACGGCGGCCGATACTATGAAACGCACCAGTGCCGTGGCGGCACAACAAAGTGCCATTGCGGCGGATCACATGAAACGAACCAGTGTGGCCGTCGGAGCACGACTTTCGGATTTCTCCGCCACGGCATCGTCCATGTTGTCCGACATGTCGTTTCGAGACTTGTCGAGCATGTCCTTTCGGGGAGACATGTCGTTTCGAGGCGATGCTTCGTTTCGAGGCGATGCGTCCTTGCACGATTTGTCCGATCATAATCCTCCTCAGCCAAGAAACAGCAGTGGCGTTGACCCGTTCGGCTTGAAAGGATGGTCCACGCATTCCAGAGATTCTACTGCCTCCACCGCCAGTTTGAGTACACTGGGTAGTGCCGTGTCGGAACGACTCTCGGGGGCTGTCAAGCGATTGCCACGGGTCAAGTCCAGTGATGGAACCAATAATACGGAAGGAATGCCACGCCGGACACTGAAGGGACGTTCCAAATCCAGCGATGGGTCCGACAAGGATCGATTCACGTACAAGCGGGATTCTGCTGCCGGCGGTAAGAAACCCACCAAACCAACCACCACCACCACCGAAACGACGACGACTCCCAAGAGTCCTCGTCGAGCCAAGTCGACCGATGGATCCGATGGACGATTCACTTACAAACGAGACTCTGCCTCGGGCAAAAAGAAACCAACCGCAACTACTGGTACCAGTAAGGAAGACCCACCGGCATTGAAGCAAATTCCCAAGCGGGCCAAATCAACCGATGGAAGCGACCATGTCTACACCCGCAAGAGCAAGGACAAGTCGCCCATGCGAACTCGTCGGGATGCGCCGGGAACTGCAACATCATCACCCAAAAAGACAACGTCATCATCTCGCAAGGAGGCACGAACCAAGCAATCGCCGCCGTCCATTCAAAAGACTGCGTCGGCCGAAGATGCCGAAGAAGCCGCGCGACGAGAAGCCGTCGAACGATCGCGACGAGAAGCGGCGGCGGCACGAGCCGCGGCCAAAAAGTTGAGGCAGTGAGCAGGAACAACCAACAAGACAAAAAGACAAAACGAGGACTGACTTCAAGACTCGAGCCTCGTAGGAAACAGCGAACCACGGCATGGTTACCCACGCTACATTGCAGATACATACAAGACTACACTAGTAGTAATATAAATTATGTAATTCATAGTCCTTTCCTTGCCTTCATGTTTTGACTCACCTGAGACGACGTACTACACTACTCTGCCACCCAACGGCACCACGCATGGCATGCGTTCAAAGAAAGTGTTGCATCCACTTCGTGCTAGCTGTCGTGGCTTTTCTGGCGCTGGGGCTATCTATAGCACTTGTGAGAAATGTGGTGCTGGGGCATGCCATTGTGGGGGTTTGAAAGTGCTGGGGCTAGTAGCTGTTGCAGCTCCCAGACCACACTAAGGAGTACTGGCTGCTCACAAAACACTTTAGAAGCAAAGATGAGTTGTAATGAGGTCAGGAGTCAAATCTTGCGGGACAAACCAACCTTAGATTCAGCAGCCCAACGAGCAAAGCTCCGGTTAGGTTGAGCCGAGATCCGAGATCCAAGATCCAGACAACGTCGCACTCACATCAAAGCTGGCTACGTGGAGCTCTACGTGGTACGGTTCTAGCTGATACCAGGTATACATCACCTGCGTACCGAGGACCATTCCATGTACGCATACGTCGAACCAGACCAACTGGATTCTTCGGTCATCCTGCTTGGATACTGGTACCAGGTTTCTGCGCAACTCACACAGCGATACCGACAGGATGGGATCGATGAACTCAAAGATCAGCGTATTTTTAGAAAAACAACAAGACAATGCCATCGTCTCTGGTAATCCCAGCCAAGAACATGGTGGTTCTGATGGTTGTAGTGTTGCTATCCACTCAGACTATATGGAACCAGAGTAGATCCATTGAAGCAGTTTCAAAGCCTCCTCGGGATCCTCTCCCACTGGATGGTGGTTTCCGTCTGTGTCGAATCAATCCTGAACCTGTCTTGGGACAAGATAATGTGGAGATGCCTGGTTTGGAACTGCCCATGTCATTCCAATGTACAGGAGATCTCTACGATCAATTTGCCACTCTTCTGGAACAGGTGATCCAGAAGAGGGCTGTCAATGGATCCCAATGGGGAAAACGAAAGACCATCCTTCCTGCTAGCAGAGCATCCCGTTCTAGATCTGTTTTAATCATGGGGAACTCTCACACTCGGCAACTGGCTAGTACCATGCTCTGTCAGTACAAGGATCAAATTATGAACACAACAACTCTCTATACCGTCCCAGGGTTTGTTGCCAATGGAATACTCCGGTTCCAAATGAAGCACGATCTCACGATTTATGTCACTACCAACTGTCCGTTTGTCTACTCACCCAACTGGGATCAAATTCTAAATTCGATACTCCCTCAACCACTCTCCGCCATGGATGCCATTATCATGGGAGAATTCAACTCATTTTCCGATTCCAGCGGCACCAATCATTACAAAATGATGATGGCTTATCAAAAAGAACACCCTAACAGTACTATTGATTTTGAAACCATTCCACCGCCCACTGTCCAAGACTTGGCCGACAAGTACACTGGACCCATCATTCATGTTTCCATGTTTGCCAAGAGGAGTGCTGGTCGCTCCAATCGAATGATGAAACAATTCCAAAATGAAACCAGTCGTACCAATGTCCAGTATGTCAAGGGGCGAAAGTATGTTTATGCCATGCAAGAGTTGCAGGCCGCTCCTGCCAAGCAGAACAGGAATCGGTTCTTGCAACGATTATTATTCTGGTCAACTCGACCACCACCCCTCTATGAATGCAGCTCGGACCAACGGACAAAAGTGGGAACCTGCAACACCGAAGTGAACAGTCCGCGGTTCTCCAATGGACATCGATGCATTGGCAGTCGAGGTGGACATCCCGACTTGATTGCCTGGGATGTCGTCCAGGCCCTCTACAAACTATTGCCCAGCTAGCTAGCCAGTGGTAGATATATCTCAATAATGGATAGATTGTTGCATATGTTATGCTCTTGGACTGAGCTTTCAACCCAGACTGTGGGAAACCGTTACGATAGCTCTCAAGGTACTATGCTTGGATACTATATAGTCAGGGTTGCAATTTAGTTCGCAATGGTGGTATCATGTGTAGTATCAAGATAGCAACTATGGGCTGTGGAGTGCTTCACATGTTCGGCGAGACCATGAGCTAGCTAGTGACTGCATGCCGAGTGAACGCTACTATCGCTGGCTGGATAGGAGCTCAACCTCCGCTGTAATATACTGTGTGGGATCCTCCGAGCAAGTCACTTCAAAGTTTCCCAATGGTTTGGAGCTGGAACGGAAACGGAGACGTCGTGTACAGAAAACTTTACTTTTCCGGGAGGAAGCATCCTCTTGGATAATTATAGCTTTCGCTAGCTTATTTCTTGTATAACTATAACCTTACACCAAAAGTGACCACTTCGCATACGATTCAGGAAACAGCTGTAGCTGTGTGCGAGACTGCTGTGGTACTGGTACCACCTGATACTGGTGGTACCAGTACAGTCGTACAGCAGCTCGTACAGCACACCATAAAAAGTCTTGATCCAGTAAAAGTGTCCAAGTGTCCAAGCAGTCCAGCTTCGAAGCCCTGGTTGATGTTGGATGTTCCACGCGATAACTCATCCTGTGCCGTGCGGTCCCGGAACACTCATCCGTACCGATGGCAATTAATTCATTACCAGGTATCAGCATTGTTGAGAGTACTGAGTACTCAGTGCTTGATACTCGGGGCACCACTGCATACTGGTACATTAAAAAGATCTCTATAATGTTCTTTGAGACCAAGGCTAAAGCCATGAAGATTTAGCATCAGCTTGAACAAAGTTACAGTACGGTACAAGTAAGTACTCAGAACAGCTTCTGTGCTGTGGTCAAAGACATCCTGACATGCATCATCTACTGGCTCATCTACTTCCCACTCTTCCCAGTGGCGTGCATGGCTGTAGTACCTTCAGTCGTCCCTTTGAGTTTGATCCAGCTTGGCTCCTCCAAAGTATTCCGCCGCCACCGTGTGGTCCGCTCAACCTGCATAGACTACATCATAGACATACCGGTATAGTAGAGCAAACAGGGTGGACCCGACCAAATTCTTTCTTTAATCGAGCCCCTTTTGACCCATGGAAGCATCTCGGATCTCCGGGTGCAATTTACCAAAAGCAAATTGTTACGAGTTTTGCTACTACGGTACTAGCTAGCTAGATAGTTTCGTGTTGGTGCGTTGAAGCAACATGACGGAGCGCAAATCATGCTCTCCGAAAGTCAATGGGTCCTCGGCCTTTCGCAAAATAGCACAGCGCCGCGACAGCGACACAAGTGTTACAGAGTCAAGTGCTGCAGAATCTGATGATATCACTGGACTATCGAATGCTGGATCTTCCTATCTGAATCGACTGAGTGACATACGAGATTCATTGAATAGTGTGGAGCATAGAGACTCCATGAAGAAATTTGCACTCCGATCTCTAGAAACAGTCAGTGAAATGAAGGTTCTTTCCAACTGCTTTGAACGAAAAATGTCTGGGCAGGACAATGCTGTTACCAAGGAATTCTCGGTCAATAAGTTGAAGTTTCATCGACTGGAATTGGTTGGACGAGACAAGGAAAAGACTCTCTTGAAGGAAAGACTGTTGAGTCAGAGTCAAAATGCTGGTGTCCAAGATAGATCCGCTCATATGATTGGGCACCGAGAGCTCATCATGATCAGTGGGGTATCTGGTTCGGGCAAATCGGCTCTGGCCCAAACACTGGAAGATCACCTCAACCAAAAGAAAATGGGAGTCTTGGTTCATGGCAAATTTGACCTCCAGGCAGCAGAGGAGCCTTATTCTACAATTATCAGTGCTTGTCATGATTTGGGAGTCAAGATTCTGAAGCTGGCACACGGCAATGACACAGAAAGTAATGAAAGGGCCAAAAAGAATACTGAGTCCTATAGGAAAATTCAAGATAAGCTCCGTGGAGAGCTGGTGGGTATGGAGTTGGAAATGCTGGTCCACGCCGTCCCAATTTGGGGAGACATTCTTATGGAGAAGGTTGAGTTACATGCGGATCCACAGCGCCACACAGTCAGCAACGCTGAAGTCAGGCCACCTGATGAAGTCACAAGCAGCAGCAAGGATCCCATGGGTCAAACGCAAGAAATGCTGGAATCAGCATTCCGAAAGTTTTTTAGGGTGATCAGCTTCTTCTTTGCTCCATTGGTTCTGGTCTTAGATGACCTCCAGGTATGCATCGACAATGAAATCAGGCTGGTGGCTTCTGGTAAAGCGTGGCCATATAACAAACCTCTCAAATCATCTCTTGTTTGCTTTCTGGAACATCAAGTGGTCAGATATCAGGACACTTGAGCTGCTCAAGCTATTGGTTTCGGACACGACCAATCCACATCTCATGGTTGTTGGCTGCTACCGGTCTGATGAAGTAGAGGAAACACACAGTCTGGCACAAGTAATTCGTGACTTGAAGCATGACAGTCAGAAGATCGGCTTGACCATCACGGAGCTCCACATTGGCAACTTGACTCCCACCGATTCAAACCAAATTGTCATGACCTTGCTGAACATCGATAACCAAACAAAGACCCGAGAATTGTCCGACTTATGCCATCAGAGGACCATGGGAAACCCATTTTTCTTTCTGATGTATGTGGAAATGCTGAATCAAGATGGATTGCTCATATTCAACTTGGGAACCTTTTGTTGGGAGTGGGATATTTCCAGAATCAAAGCAGCCACTGCAGCTACAGCTAATGTAGTGGACTTGATGACATCAAAGTTCTTGAAACAGTCCAAAGAATTGGTCCATTTGCTCAAGCTGGCTTGTTGCTTGGGTAATATCTTTACAGGATCAGTACTCTTCTTGGTATGGGCCATGTCACCAGATGTCATCATGCCAAATGATGAGGGAACTTCTAAGGATGAACTCTTCCATCAACTGCTGGAGGAATCCATCGAAGAGAAGTTCCTGGAACGGATTGATGAAGGTACGTCATTGACAGGTGCTTGCTACCAAATCTACCATATCAGCTCACCAAGCAACAAACCTTGTTCCTTTTGTTGCAATCACTAGGTTTGCGATGGACCCATGACAAGGTCCAAGAGGCTGCCATGTTGTTGGAGCCACAAGAGAACTTTGCAGCAAGAAAGTACAAAGTAGGACAAACTCTTTATACCTGCTTGGATGGAGAGGACTTGGAACAGTACTTGTTCTGTATTGTCAACCTACTGAATGACGGGTCTACTTCCGCATCCACAGAGCTGGCTGAGCTCAACCTAAGGGCTGCCAAGAAGGCCAAAATCTACAATGCTGTATCCCTTCAGTCGGTGTACTCTGAATTTGGTATCGCAAACCTGCCCAATGATTGCTGGACTAGTTGCAAGAACCTGGCTCTGGAACTCCACACCATCCGAGCAGAAGCTGCCAGCAGCATGGGAGAATTTCCGACTATGGAACAGTATTGCAATGTTGTGTTTAGTCAAAAGAACTGTTCTATTCTCGACAAGATCCCGTGCTACAAGGTTTGGATTCATAAGTTTGCCCGGCATGGGAACTACCATGAGGCTTTGAAACTTGAAGTTAAGGTGTTGGGGAAGCTGGGATGCAGGCTTCCTCACAGAAAGATTCCACAAGCACTGGCAGCAATATCAACACTACTCCAATTCAAACGAAAGCTCAAAAAGATTACTCCAACTGCTCCAGAACTGCAGAAGATGCCCTTGATGACTGACTCTGTTCACAAGAACGCAATGTCATTGCTGGCATCACTCATGTTGCATGCCTACATGGATCAGAATTCGATGCTTTGGTTGCTAGGAACTTTTCGCATGGTCCATCTAACCCTCGAACACGGTTTGGCGGATGAATCACAACTTGCTTTCTCCTCGGCCGGAATCATGATTATGCATGCCTTGGGTGACTGGGAAATAGGAAAGCAGTATGCAACCCTTGCTCTCAATATGTATGACAAATTAGAAGAGAGATCTCCTCGATCTTCAACCATGTGTTGTTCACATGGCGTTGCCATTGTCTGGCTGCGCCCCATGCAGAGTCAGCTTCGGTGGATGATGGAAGGCTACAAGATTGGGATGCAGTTTGGAGATATTGAATGGTCGTTAGGCAACATTACTATCTACGCTGAGATGGGTTTGCTATCAGGTTTGCAGCTTCGAGGACTGTCTCATGACATTCGAATCTACCTGTCCCAGTTTGAGAGAATCAGCACCAACCTGGGCTATTCCAGAAGACTCCGTCTCTATTGGCAGACGGCAATGAACTTGATGGGTGAATCGGAAAACACAACAATTCTCTGTGGATCAGCAATCTCAGAGGATTGCCTTTTGGAGGAGGCATCTACTGTTTCAGGGAAATTTTCAAGCCTGCTCAAGAGTTTTCTTTGTGTACTCCAGAGTTTTCTTTGTGTACACTTTGGCGATCATGAGAAAGGTGCAGTGCTTGCTCTGAAGAGAGGCAACAATGTGTATGAAGAACTTCCTGGCATGCCTATTGCCATGGTGGATCCTTTCCTCCGAGCTGTGTCACTGTATGCAATGGCTCGAAAAACCAAAAAGTTCAAGTATCGACGTCATGCCTACAGGGCAACAAAGACAGTAAAAGTCTGGCTGCAGAAGGGCAACCCCAACGCTTATCACCAACTTGAGTTCCTCAATGCCGAACGTGCTGCCCTCTCCAAAAGCCAAGATACGTATGAACTGTACTCCAAGGCTGCGCGATTGGCAGTTCGAGGTGGCTGGATTCATGATGCTGCCTTGGCAAGTGAACGACATGCAGAGTATATGCTTGAACAGAACGACAAAGATGGTGCTGCTGTCAAGCTAGCAGAAGCAATTGAGCGTTATGGCACTTGGGGTGCCATGAAAAAGGTCACTCAACTGCAAGAAATGTACTCTGACATTCTCTGACCTAATCGATGAAAAGTGCAATAGCGCATGTTGAGACAAAGAACACAACCAGGCTGCCGCTGCAAATTTGTCCATGTAATCTTCTAATCTAATATCTGTTTCTGGTGCAGCATAGTCTAGCTAGATTCCCATCTTAGACATGGCCTTGCTAATCAAGGGACTCATTTCGGGATCTCCCAGGTATTTCATAACATTCATAGGATTCTCCAAGCAGTCTTGGACAGCCACCTTGAATCGAGGGTTTTGCGCCACCAAATCCTTGATTTCGGGATCCTCCAAGATCTTCTTGGCCTTGTCCATCATGCCACTGCTAGCTCCGTTGACTGCGTTCTCCGCATTTTCGTTGCTGTTGCCGCCGCGGCTGCCGCTCTTGTGTTTCTTATCGCTATTGCGCACAAAGACAAGATTCTTTGGTTGGAGCGCCAGTGTCTTCTTCTTTCCTTGGAACTGGACCATGACGCCGTACCGTCCCGTTTCGTCGTTCCTATGCGTTGTCACCTTGCCCTCGAGGTCGTTGAACTGCGGCGACTTGGCTAGACCCGTCACTTGGACAACGTCACCGGGAGAGAACTCTGTTTTGGTGGTGGTCGCTGTGCCGTTCTTGGCCGCAATCAAGTGATCGTAGAGCTTGCCACCGGTATTGGCGGTGCTACCGCTGCTGTCAGCGGATACCACGTCGGGATTGCGAACGAGCAACTTTGCAAATCGTCGAATGGCATCCGTGCCCGTGACTTCTTCCGGCAAGAGTGGCACCTCGCAAACTTCCACATTTCGTTCGGTCACTTCGGTAAATCCCTTGAGGTCGGACAAATATCGTTGTTGAATGGACTTGCGGGCCGTGGTGAGACGACAAGCATGAACCGTTTTGCGCAGAAGTTCCTGTGGCAGCTGCAAGTTGCCCACCTCGGCGAGTGACTCCAGTTCTGTAAGCTGCTCTTGTGTGAGGGCATCTTGGACGACGAGTTGATTGACGATAATGTGAGAGGCAATGACCTGATTCTTGGTCAATTCCTGAAGTAGTCGTTGGGTCTCCGAGACGCTCAAGAATTCGGCAATGCAGACCACGACAAAGCGTGTCCGCGTCTGATCCTGAAGCATCATGGCGACCTTTTGAATATCGTGTTTGTATTGGGTCAACTTGTCCTTTACTTGGTTCTTGAGTGCAGCGCGTCTCTGCGCCTTGGTCATACTGGCTGTGGACGACGCCGTCTTGAAGGCTTCCCAGTAACTCCAAAAGGTAGTTTGCCAGGACTGAAGTTTGTCAATGCCTTGTTCTAGAATTTCCGGCAAAGCCAATAGCTTCAGAGTATGGCCTGTTGGTGCAGTATCGAAGACGATCAGGTCGTAGTTACCCGACTCAATGTGCGTAATCGCGTTACTCAGCGCCGTAGCTTCATCAATACCGGGAATTCCCGATAGCCACTCTTGAAATTGCGCCATTTTGGACGACCATTCGTCATTCTTATCCTTGTCATTGGGAGAAGAGGATCCAGCAAATAGTTCTTGCGATACAGCCGCCCATTGCTGGAGTTCTCCTTCCATACTCTGCTGAGGGTCCACTTCCATGATATCCAACGAGCCGCCAGTACTGGTACCATCTTGTGCGGGAGCAATGGCCTTGGTGGGGACATTGGAAAACTTCTGCCGCCAGGCATCTCCCAAGGAGTGCGCAGGATCGGTGCTGACCAACAAAACTCGCTTCTGACAAATCGTCGCCAACAAGGTGGCAATGGCAGAAGACGAAGTCGTCTTGCCTATAGAAAAGAAGAGAAATACAGCATGAAGGCACAGAATTCACCGTCAGAGACGAAAACCATGGATATTAGAGAGCATGAGAGCATACCTATACGGTGGTACGGTAGCCCGAATTTCCGTTGCTTTGACGTACCAACACCACCTTTGCCTCCAACAAACACAAACTTCAGATCACTGCCTGCCGCAGCATTGACCAATGAATCCAAAGACATCTTGCTGTTTGCTGTTAACTTTCGCTCTTAGAAAGCTACCACTTCTTGTAATTTATGGCCACAAGCAGTGTGCTTTACCCTCACTGCATTGGCCTGCTTCTAACGAAGAAAATCGAGTGCTTTCGAAGAATGGCCATTCGTGGATCAAACCTTCCACGCTACGCGGGAACGTGGACTACGGTACATGTGTGACAATCTTCCTTTGGTTCGCCATGCAGTCGCTCCTCGAAAGCCAAAACCAAGCAGCGCTATCATCCTGTTCAACAGGACTGGTATCTACTCAACAGAAAAAGCCAACAATCGACCCCATGGAACGTCGAGTCAGTTGGTGAAGATGCAAGCTTGAAAGTTTTATGGCCTTGATCGGAAAGGCATGTGGCTCGCACCACTATCGTAGGCTTGTACGGTAGAGGAAGTTTCATGCAAAAGGGACCAGCAATTGGGATGCAGTTGGTTAGATTTTTTGGTGTGGGCTTGAGGCTATAACGGTGGTGACACGTTGCCGGCATCATCGTGCAGGTGCGCACCTCGGATCACTTCCGGCAAGGGGTGGGGTCCCGGTATAAATGCTTTGCTTCACAATCACGCTCCTCTGAGACTACGGTTTCAAATAATTTGATTTCGATTTTGATATCTAGATTCTTGTTGCACAGAACTGGGGACCAACCAGAATCTGTACCGAGAGAAATATCGAGAGACCCGGAGCGTGCCTCAATCGTGCATGTGCTGCTGCATTTACCAGTCGGATTTAGAGTTGAAGTTGAGTTTCAAACTCTACTCCAAATTTGAGTCTTCATTTTTGTCAGGGGTACGGCTCTACGGTACCGTACCGTACGGGGTACAGCTGTACCGGTACGTACGGGACCAATTTTGACCTCTGGGGACCAATTTTGACCTGATGGGACCAATTTTGACCTGACGGGACCAATTTTGGAATGGCTTTAAAACCTGTCACGACTGACTCAACTAATTTTGAAACCACTTTAAATCCTGGTTTCCCCAAAACACCATTTGAGGCACGCTCCGGTAAGGCGCTTTCGTTTCACGGTTTCAAACTTTAATTTCGTTCAAATTTTAATCTCAAACGATCGTTTTGACATCTTCTTCGAAAGACAAGAGTTCCTAGCTAGAAAGAAAACCAGCTTCATTCTCATACATTCGGTGTTCTTCTTCCTCGCGAAGACATGCATGACGATGACAATGATGGTATTGAGAGTCCCACGTTCACGTGCCTCGAGATGTTCTTCTATGATGAACCCTCGCGCGGACCGCTGTGTGGTTGAACGGATCCAGAGTCATCTTGCGGTGGTTCCTGTTGGGGTGGGCGCATGACGATGACAATGATGGTATTGAGAGTCCCACGTTCACGTACCTCGAGATGTTCTTCTTTGATGAACCCTCGGCGGACCGCTGTGTGGTTGAACGGATCCAGAGTCATCTTGCGGTGGTTCCTTTGTGGGTTGGTTCGTTCTCGTGCAAGGTAAAGTTGGCTCTTCTGTTTGGCGGAGTCGTTGTGGTTCTCATCCTTCCTCGCTTTCGTTGCTCTTGCTCTTGCGCTTAGCTTTGGTTGATTGGTGGTTCGCCTCGAGCTGTACTATCCTGGTATCGTCTTGATTTGGTTGTCGTCGTCGTCGATGCCTCATCATCCAACAGGTTAGCGGCGAACTGCCTCGTCTCAGGCATCTTCCCCTTCTTTTGCGTTTCGGCAATGCTACGATTGATCGGCAACGCTGGTCCAAGCTCCCTTCGCTTACGACAGTCCTACCAAAACGTCTCCGTCCCTTCATTTGCTCTTTGATGTCGGTTGGTACGGTCCACGGTCCCTCATCCTTCGGTTGCTCTTCCAAGTCATCGGCGGCGCCTCTCGGGTTCTGCTTCAAGTCTGATTCGATTCAGGTTGGACTGTCGGCGTCGTCAGAAGCAGGTCTGGTGCTTCGTCTCATCGGTTGGTTCTCGCGCTCCGTGACCCAACGATCTGATCCCACGCAGTCGGAGGACTCTCACCGTTAGGAACGATGAACCTTGGCGTCTACAGGGCTCAGTATAATTAATTTGTAGCTTGTCCCGTGGGTGGTTGGCCACTGCATTTGTCAAGGGCCAGCCACTTACGTTTCTCTCAGTCTTTCTAGCTAGCTAGCTGGTTGCACAGTAGCGTTGTAGCCACTCACACCCTCTCTGCCTTGCTTTGCAGTCAAACGCAGCCTCGCCTTTCACAAAAGCAATACATGTTGGTCGAACAGTAGTGTCTTCGTCTTTCATGCTTAGGAGATTTTGCTGCATGGGTTGCTTCGTTCTTCCTCCCTTTAATAAAGCATTGTGATTCCATGGTTGGGTTCGCATCAACCAAAGCGGTCTCGAAATTCTGGTTCCAATCTGCTTTCTGCTGCATTGCTTTTGACAAACTGAACGCTGGCAGTATAATCTCGTCTCTGCAATTCTTACAATGCATCGAGTCACACCTATATCAGGAACCAATTTGAGTAGGATACCGTATGACAGCACCACAAACGTGAATTGAAGGCTTTGATGCGTCGTACTTCTTGGTTTTCTCTGTACGGTACCGAGGAAGCGGGAACTTTCAATAAAATGATCATGCAATCAATCCATCGATCCGTTCTTGAGCCACAGCAGCTGCATGCATGCCAGAGTTGACGAGACGATAGAGCTCGCATCCATTCTGGTTGGTTGCGTGTAACAGGCTGCCCTGCCCTATCCCATGGTTCAACTCGATGGCGACCTTGAGCGGGCTGGCCATCCCCACCGGAGAGTGCGGAAGCTGGGCTTCTATATATACTAGTAAGTCAAGGAAAAGAAACCGTTCGTTTTTGGAGTTCACGGACCCGGTTTTGCATTGGGGTCTTGTCCCGTACTGTAGTGATCGATCCAAGGTACATGTACCAAACGTTGGCTATACAGAAAGATGACAAAACGTTGCTATAGTATAGTGTATTGTATTGCATACTAGATATTCATTTCTACAAACAGTTTCAGACGACCTTGCCCGTTCCCGTCATTCATTCCGTAAAGTGCAAGCTAGCTATCTACTCTGCTGCCATGGTTGGAGCTCCATTCTCCACATCCATAGTCGAATTCTCTTGTGGTTCGCTCGCTTCCTTGACGACGTCATTGTCGTCTTGTGCGTCTTCTCCCTTGGTTGTTTCCACCACAATAGTTGCTGTCTTGTTGTTGTCCTCCTTATTCTTGTGGTTGGAACCACCATGAACTTCTTCCAATACTTGTTCCCAGGGTGCCGACATGCAGAGTGCAGCAATGGCTAGCAAAAAGAAGCAGTTGGTGGTAATAATGCCAATGGATTGCGACACATTGGCTTCTACCAGTAGCGAGAATAGGAGGGGTGGCAACCACGACAATATGATTCGGCAATAATTGAAGAATCCTGCGAGCTCAGCTTCTTGATCTTTCGGGGTAATGAGTGCCACATAGACATATTCGGCCTGATAGTGCCATCCCAGTCCCAGTGAAACGGCGAATCCCCATACAAACGACGACGGAATGGCATTGTCCTTGTTCACCGTAAGAGCCCCAATGACACTCACGACAAACGTATAAAGCATGGCGAGTCTCCATGAAGTATTGGGATTGGTGCGTCGACAAATCCATTCTCCCGGCCAACATCCCAGCACAATCCCGACGAGTCCGACAATGAAAAAGAGTCCGACTTGTGTGGCATCCAATCCCCATTCTTCCGTCAATACAATGACGGCGACCGTCAAGAATGCCGTGGCGGCCGCTTCTCCAAAGACACACGCGAGTAGAAACCATCGAATGGAATGTTTGTATTCCCGATTGATGCGTTGGAATGTGTGCCAATTCTGGATGAATCCAATGAGAAATAGATTGTGTTTTTTCTTTTGTTGTTGTGGTTGCTGCTTGGTGGTGGTGTCCATTTCTTTTCCTTCTTCTTTTTCATCTTCAGGATTATTGTCATTTGGTTGTTCTGGTTGTTCTTCTTCTTCTTGTTGAAGCAGCAGTGAATGTTTGGCCGGCACATGTGGCAATTTTTTCCATCCCAGATAGAATCCGAGTCCTGCCCATACCGTGACAATGCCTTGTCCTACTCGAGCCGTGGCGACATCACCGAGTCCCAAGGCTGTCGCCACGGCAATGACGACAAACATGTAGAGTGCCTGGCCCAGTGCCACTTCTACCATGATGAATTTTGCCGTATACGTGTTCATGGTTTCATCTCCCACCGTCTTGGCCAAATCGGGCAAATACGCCAAGGAAGCAATGATTTGGGTTTCAAAGAGCAAGCCAGAAAAGGCTTCTAATAGTGCCATGCCAAACCATGTTTGCGACGTGGTGCCAATTTGAATGGCTTCCGTCAGAATCATGAGAATGGCAGTAACGACTCCCACTGTTTTTCGATGCGGTGTATAGTCCATAATGGCGCCAATCAGTGGTAGAAACAACGCCACGAGAACTCCCGAAATGGTGGCAATATTGGTCACCAAGGCGGCCGGACGAAAGGCGCCGTAGACTCGTTCCTCGCAATCGTCTACAATCTTGCCTTGCATGTCGACACAACCGACTTTGTCCGATGCCAAGTAAATAAAAGCCGTAGACAGCAGTACGGTGCACATGTAGATTGGACCACGACCCATTCCATGCACATTGTAGCCTTGCGCCATGACATTGCCATCGAAACGAGTCCAAGCGCAACAGCCACTGCTAGTAGTAGTGGTAGTCATTGTGGTGGTGGTGTCCACGTTGGTATTAGAAGCATTGGTAGTGGCCGTGTCCTCTTGCGGCACTGGACTGTCACTCATAGTCATGGTTGTTGTTGTTGCCTTGTCCATCTTGATGATCTTTTGATCTCTTCTCGTCTGTTTGCTCCAATTTCTGAGTCTTTTGGAGACAGCTCAAGCTCTCTCCATCGACCATGCATTCTTGTAACTCAGCAATGCGGCTCGGAAGCTGGGAACTGAGAAGGGTTCCGATTGTATGAAGCCGAATGCCGAATGATACAGTAAATCTCTTTGATTATTGGGTAAGTTACAGTCGAAGGATTCAATCCTGCACAGACACCTTGGACATCGCGTTTGTAGGTATTCTGCAATGATGGCAGCGGTGACATTGCGTGGTGCAATCTTAGTTAGTTATGGGTTCTCTGACCAACATCCAAACGAAAACCAAACAACCTAGACTAAGCTTGCATCCAGGTTATGGAATGATTCCATCGGATCTTATTACTGTATGATACTGTACTGTAAGGGTACCATGCAGGCAGCTCGCTTTGAACAGTACAATGGTGGTTCCGTACCGCCGAGCTAGAACCGAGAACCGATATCATTCGATTCAATCATTCATTCCTACTGTAGCTACGGTATGGGATGCCTGGTCGGAAATTGGTTGCCTTGGCTACCGTATTGTGGGATTGACGTGCAGCTATCCGCTCATGCAGTGCATTGGACGTACGACGTAGTACGTTGCTGAGCAATTGGGGCGGTGGTGGACTGGTTGGTGGGAGAAAGGAAAAGGCAGATATTCTTTGCTCAGCCATCTCGCTCTGGAGGGGCGGGCGGTGTCGAGAACCATGGAAGCAACGATCTAAAAGTTTAGTAGAAGCTTTCGAGCCAATGTATACTGCAGTAGTACCGGTACTTTATTGGCTGCTCACCTGAGAGCTGATAGATACATGTAGGTCAGCCACTTGGTTTCCACAGCCTTGGCTCTACGAGTACCTAACCGTAGTTACATCAAGACGTACCGGTACATTTCCTTGCCCTGAAAGAGGGATCTGTACTGTACCTATGATCACCAACGTTCGCTCTAGCCAGCAACAGCCAACCAAGGTGGAAATGAATTGAAATGATATCCGAGAGAAAATGGCCGGACAAGTGATTTTTTTCTGTTCTATATACTACTAATGCTTATTGTCCCTAAGTTGTTACGCTATTACATAAATCAGTTTATTGTTGGTTGAAAGCTCGTGTAGAGATCCACATCCATCCATCCATCCAAACTAAGAATATATATAATAGAATTAGAAACCGTGAAGGACAATGCTCTCCCCATGACAAATTTCTTGATCGACTAGGAAATCCTTGACGTTGGTTCGTTGATCTCCACTCAATTGAATGACTTCTCCTACTTCCAAATCCTTCTGTACGGCTCCATTGCAGCTAAAATTCTTTTTGAATGCCTTGCAAATGCGCTTGATATCCAAATCGTCTGCCAGACCGGCCACGGTGGTAATACACTTTCTACCGTTCCGTTGTTGGACACGAACATGCACCTTTTCTTCCGACGAGACACCGCCCTTGTCACCCGCGTCCTCAAAGGCGTCTAGCAAATAATAATAAATAGAGATGGAGCAAAGATGGTCAGAGATGGTCAGAGATGGTCAGAGATGGTCAGAGAAAGAAGCAGACCGCATAGTTATACCCATCTGCTACCGGTATAAGGCACTCACCGAATGTATTAAATTGCAAACTATTGGTGGCCATTGTGATTGTCTTGTGTCTAAGTCAGTTAGTTGTAATGTCTTCTTGCTCCTGTGGCGCTCTCTCTCTGTTGGTGTTGTAATAACAGCGGCTGTTGGTTTGTGGGAATGATGATGATGATCAATCGGTGGCTGTTGTTGGTTCTCGGTGGTGCCATGCATGCATGCGCCATGGTCGGGTTTGGCCGCCAACATGCATGTTGAAGAGGGACTCGATTCAGGAGGTGGAAGCATTCATGAAAATGACGTCATTATACGAGGGTTAAGGCTGATTTAAGGGTTAAGGGATTGAAGATTGATTGATCATTCTTCGCCGAAGAGACTTACTTCTTCGCCGCGGAGAGGTCCGTCCGAGGTTCACCACGATAACCATTTCTCGAGATCTTATCATCTTATCATCCACCATGATGATGTTCTCCTTCCGGGCTGCCCTGTTGTTGCTGCTGTTGACCCTGGTCTCGTCGGCTGCTGCCGACCAGAATGAGTGTTATGATGGAAAGTTAACTTATTGCTTGGAGAAGCTCAAGTTGACCCAAGATGAATGCAGCAAAAAAGCAACGGAATGGTGCTCTGCTTCTACTGGTACTGCGACCAGTACAAAGGATTGTTACCAAGGCAAGCTGGAGTACTGCTTGAAGAACATGGGGCTCTCGGAAAACGAATGCAAGGAGAAAGCGGAGGGTTGGTGTCAGCAAAAGAAAAAGGAGGGCTTGGAAGATCAAAAGTGAAATTTCGGCTGCCCGAATGGAGCCTTATTTCGTGTATGAACACCTTAATAAGCTAGCTAGTTGTTTTTGATGTTTTTGTAAGCTTGAATCGAATCAATCAGATTACGTGCCGTACATGTAGTATCTCTGAAATAATACATGTACCTATTGCATGGAACATTAATAATAATAATGATATCTTTTCCTGCAGACTAGCTACCTGGTAGCTACCTGGTACTGGTAGCTGGTACCATACGGTAGCCACCTGCAACCTTTTGTATTCGCTACTACGGTGGTACCAGTAGGAGTGGATGGAGCTCCCCTCGCTGCGGTGCTGTCGAGGTGCAGTGCGTTGCCACTCGCCCTCCATTTGATGCCCACGAATTCCTCTCCTGGCGCTTGCTCCTCGCAGTACAGTATAGTCTCCCTAACCCGCAACTCGACACTGTTTCAAAAGACGATGAACCTGTTCTTCAAAAACACATAGAGAGTACAAACGGGGAAAGTTACTATGGGTACTCATTGCCAGCCAGTTCCCTACCCCGTACTCATTGTTAGCCAGTTTGGTTGCTCCAAGCTTGCAACGTTCCGAGTATATATTTGCTTTCAGCCATCATTCAACAAAGCTTTGGGGTTCCACCATCGATCATGGGTATCGAACGAAAGATGGAGGCTTCGCACGGCACGTGGTTTTTTGCAACTCCAGGAGGAATTTGGCCACGTGTAGCTGACTTAAAAGAATTACTGCGGGGAGCACCCTCTAGGCCGTTAAATATGTATTTAACATTGTAGACCCTTGCATTCAACAAATAAATTTAACGTTATAGATTATAGACCCCTTGCATTCAACAAACTTAACGGTCCTGTCCCTTGGATGAAAATCAGCTGACGTTCTGTAAGATGGATGGGACACAAAGAAGACTGGAGGGTGCGTTCGGGTTCTTTTTCAGGCTGTCCCACGTCCATGCTCACAAAACGAAACCAGAAACCAACGAGATCCTGCAGCTGAGGCCAGCTAGCTAGTAGATACAATATTCCTTTTGGTCAGCCCCACCAATTAAAAGAATGACGAAATCGAACAACGAGCCGCCTCAGGGCGGCAGTGAAGCCGCCCTGGACATGTCTTCTTCTGAGAACAATCATCTGAATCTGCTCAAGATTGTGGAAAAGCGGATTCAGGATGGTCAGCAGCACCAAGTGGAGAAAGCCAAGGAGCAAAAGGAAGAAGAATCCGAGAGAGGAGCTGGGTTGGATTGTCTCGATTCCTTGACTCTGCGAAAGGTCGTTGAAGCTCGAATCGGTTTACCAGTATCCAATGGCACTAACTCGTACCTGACCGAGGAACAGTTACTGGCAAAGGTGGCTGCAGGAACATCTGGCAAGAAGAACACAAGCAGTCCACCCGATACTTCTACTAGTAGTTCTATTGCTAGAACTACTAGAACCAGTAGGAGCGGTACAGGTACAGACGCTGCATCCCAACCATCTCAGTGCCCAGGAGCCTTCTTGGCAGCACCCGGACAAGCACCCGTCCGAAACCAAGAACTACGAAAATCCCTCTTGGGACGAGAGTCCAATCGAGACGTCGCCAATGCCATCTAGCAAGCGGCGCTTCAAGAAGAACCTCAGATCGAGACCACTGACTTGCAATTATTTGCAGTCATCAGCCAGGGCATCCTCGTCGGCTGCCCTCAGTGTCGCCACACCCGTCGATGATGGAAGTTGCATGTTCCCACTGCCAGTCGCACAAGAGTACGACGCGGAACGTCAGCCACGGCATCAAACACCCAAGAACGAAACGACACCCGCTCAAGAACGCAGAAATGTGATTTTTGCTCTGGTTATTACCTTTGTCGTGGGGCTCGCGGCGTTCCTTGTCGTATTTCTGCTCCTTCACAGAGAAAATGATACCACCACAGCTACAACCCCCGAGATTTCCTCCGCTTCAGCATCCAACACCATTGCTGAACCAGCCATTACCATATTGTCACCCAAAGAGCACATTTTGCAATTCCTGCCCGCCTCCACCATTCGAGAAATTGAGCTACATCCCGACACGGCACCCCAGGCCAAGGCATTGCAATGGATGCTGAAGGATCCCTACTACTATCACTACAACCATACCTACCAGTATTCTTCCCAACGAGTGCAACAACGGTTTGCATTGGCAACCTTGTACTATTCCACCAATGGACACAAGTGGTTCAACCAAACCAACTGGCTCCAGTATGGAACGCACGAATGTTCGTGGTTCTCGCGTCATTGGTTTGGAGACGTCGAGCTCTACATGGCATCCAGTACCGCTCATACCTTTACGCTCATGTACGGTACGATTCACGAACCTATCCCTGCTCGCAAAATACCACGGGAGGGCAGCTGGAACACTTGTGGCTGTACAAGAACAAACTCGAAGGAACGATTCCTTTCGTGGAACTCTCCTTGGTCAATCCCTCAAGAGTATGAGCTCTATCTTCCGAACTAGCTAGGACTTCTCTCAAATTTGGAAGGACTCGAAATTTCCATCTACAAGCCCTGCTGGCATCTGCCAATTCCATTACTGGCAGTATCCCTTCCGAGTATGGCTTGTTGACCAGCCTCGTGTATTCTCTCTTGTCGCAGAATCGCATTTCGGGGACTCTGCCCACCGAGCTGGCGGGCATGTCGGCCCTGGAATGGTTTTATCTCTACAGCAATCAAGCAACAGGCACCATCCCTCCCGCGTTTTTGGCCGGTCATGGATCTTCGCTGCAACTCCTCAACCTGTACGGCAATCAACTGACGGGCCCCTTGCCGAGCGAAATCGGATTGATGTCCAATAACATGGCCTTGTTGGCATTGTCGGACAATCAAATGTCCAGTACGGTGCCAACCGAGTTGGGCTTGCTCACGGAGATTGTCTCTGGCCTGTCGATGAATCGCAACAATCTTCAGGGAACCATTCGACAGAGCTCGGTAATCTTCGCAACCTGACTGGTGTCGTGACAGGGTCGGGAACGTATGGATTGGGACTTGGAGGCTCTCTGGTTCAGTCCCCTCGGAACTAGGCCTGCTAACGGTGCTGGAACGCCTCTACCTGCAAGACAACATGTTGACAGGGACGTTGCCATCGGAGCTGTCTCAAATTGCCGCCCTCGAAACCTTCCAAGGCCAAAACAACAACTTTACGGGCCCTGTAGTTCCAAACTGGGAGGCCAACCAGAGTTCCTCCGTCATCGAGGAATGGGATGTGAGTGGGAATCTTTTCGTGACGGGAGTTGTGACGCAGACGCTGTGTGGAGCCTGGAAGTTTACCTGTTCGGGCATCTTGTGTGGGTGTGATTGTCCCTGTCCCACGGCTGTGTAGATGACACTCCAGCGCCAAGAATTGTATATCATTGGAGTGGCTACCGGCACTAAAAGAAGAATTCGGAAGTATGAACGTGTGCTCGGGCATTGTCGAAGGTTCCTGCCAGTGATTCTGGTGCTTGATTGAAAAGAGTGTTGCAGCATTGTTCCTGTCAGCACGTTGTGCTCCCACTCAAGATGTCTTATGCAGCTGTGATAAATGTGCGATCCCCATGAGAGAGGGACATGAAGCTGATTCCCCTATGAAGTAAAGCAAAGTTGCTGAAACTTCCAATCTTTTCCTAACTAATACTCAAGCAACTACTGTGCGAAGTCGTTTTGGCTTCATTCTTTATTCCAACTCTTGTTCAACCACAGAATGAGTTCATCCAATGCATCGGATGCTTCGGGAGTGAATTCGAAAAAGCAAAAGTGACAATGCTGCATTTTCCAATATTCCTTGTAGACGACGGGCACTTGTTCGGTTTGAAGCGCATCTACCAAGGCATGCACTCCATCCAACAGAACTTCGTAACTCCCGGCCGTGACCAAACAGGGCGGCAACTTGCCTTTGGACAATTTGGACAATTGCTGTGTCAAGTATTCCCGGTTGGCGGGGTCTTGATAGACGATACTGGTGACGAATTGATAAAACTCACCCGCCATGTATCCATCGTGAGGAGCATTCTTGTCGAGGTGCTTCCACGTCCGTCGTGTCTCTTCTACAGTAGCGGCTACTTGGGACGGCAAAAACTCCATTCCGGGTCCGGGCGACGAGAGTACCAAGGATGTGGGCTTTACGTCCAAGTCAAGTTCTTGAAGCCGAATAGCAGCTAAAAGGGAATGCCCGGCCCCGGCGGATCCTCCCAAGAAGGATAGTTTGGTCAAGTGGGGATGCGTTTTTCGTAGCCACTGATAGGCCGTCACAACATCCTCGACGGCTTGTTGGATGGTGGCTTCTGGAACCAACCGGTAATCCACACTGAGGACAGGTACACCCAACCGCCTAGCCAATTCAACGGCCAATCCCCGTTCGGTGCCAGTAGTGCCTGCAATCATGCCTCCTCCGTGCAGATGAATCAGGCATTGGGTGCAAGTATTACTACAAGAAGAGGGGGTAATCCAGAGGGACTGACTGGTGGCGCGTGGCGTGGGCACCACATCAACTTGAATGGTGCCAGGAGGGGGCGTGGGCCAGACATTAGGCCAAAAGTATTTCATCATGGTCCGAATGGGTTGCACATCATGAGGCGGTGGAGGACCAGCCAGTAAGATCCACGCCATTCCACGGGCTCCCGGTGAAATTTGTGGATCGTCACTCGGCCAAAATCGTTCCTTGGTCGGAGCCACAATCCCAAAGACAAATCGAAAAATGGTCCGCGGCCAATTGATGCGACTCAAGCCATAGACCACGACGGCAGGAATGCTCGTCCACAACAACAACTGACCGGAGTTCATTTTGTTGGTGCTGATTGTACCAAGAGAAAGCAGTGACATTGTCTTCGTCGCGTTATAGTTTGATCAGCTAACAGTATTGTGAAGAGTGATCAAAAGAGAAATGATCCGTCGTTGACAATCTTTGATGGAGTTCTCGAGATCTTGTCTTGGGTCTTGGATGGTTTGGATCTTTCAAATCCGAGCCAGCCATTCTTCTTCTTTTACATTTTAACCCTTTTAACGCCAATCGGTTATGTACTGTAGGGCATATGATATATGCCCTATGTATAAGTAAAAAGCGTCTAATTCAGCTTCGAATTACTTAATTATTTATCAACTATTACAGCTAAAAAGAGCCAAAAAGAGTTTTCTACAGATATGGGTCGTATATGCCTAACAGTAGCTACAGACGGTCAAATTTGGCTAGTTTTGCAGAACAATCACAAACAACAAAGGACACCATGACAAAAGGCTGCATGAGGACGGTTACTATGGTCCAAAGTGGTCCAAAAGACATGGATAATATGGGTAATATAGCTAGGTGTCAACTGTTAACGGGAGAGGACTGGATCTAATGGCGGCTTATACCATTGCAGAGCCCAAAATTGGAAGCAAATCGGCACGACCACAACAAAAATCCTGCTTCCTTTAATCGATTGCGCTGCTTCTGTAGCTGGAACTGCTGCATCTCCTATTGACTATGGCTATGTATAGTGTTGCTGAAGGGATAGGAAGGTTACACGTCGGTACCTAGCGCCATCGTTCTGTCATCTTAATGTTGGTTGGAAGGTATTGAGCGACCCAAAGAACAAAAACGGCATTTACCTTATCCCCTGTTCCAATGCTTGCTTTAAACCCTGCTTGATGTTAATTCGGGGTACAATTTCCCAGGACTACCAGGAATTGGTGTCAAATTTTGGCATTGTTCACACAACCATTAACAAGCCATGAGTGAGTAAATGCGTGATTTGCTTCTTATGTCTGCAAAAGAGTTGCCTTGACGAAACGTTTTTGAGTCATGATTTGAGGTTCAGAGTGAGTGAGTGAGTGAGTGAGCGAGTGAGCAAGTGAGCAAGTGAGCGATACAAGTGAGTGAGTGAGCGAGTGAGCGATACAATTAACAGCGTGAGTGAGTAAATGCATGAGTAATTCAATTTTAATGTCTGCAAAAGAGTTGCCTTGACGAAACAATTTTGAGTCATGATTTGAGCTTCAGAGTGGGTGGGTGAGTGAGTAAGTGAGTGAGTGAGCGATACAATTAATTGCGTGAGTGAGTAAATGAGTGATTCGATTGTGATGTCTGCAAAAGAGTTGCCTTTGTATCGCTCACTCACTCACTCACTCACTCACTCGCTCACTCGCTCACTCACTGAGCTGTGTGATCCCGATAGCAACAGCAGCAACAGCAAGCCACCTTCTAGACTCCCGATGCATTCACTCCTCATACATGTTAACACTGGTCCCTTCCACAATGAAGATATTGATGATGTGCTTCCTCCTCCCGTCGCCTCTCTTTTTCACTGTGCTGCTCGCAAGCCAACACCTACGGAGCAACTGGAAGATGAACGATTGCATGAAATCCTGGGTCCCCCTTCGGATGAGGAGCCTCCTTCCGACGATGCTGACGGGCCTCCTTTCGACGATGATGCTGCAGAAACAGCAGACCATCGTCTCACTCCGGCAGAGATGGAATCTTTCCTGAATCAGCAATCCTTTCTTCATCATCACCATTCAGAGCGCATTGCAACTTACCACCTCTATTGCCGGGTGCACAACTTATTCCCTTCGGATTGGACTGGAAAGGGGAGTATTGGATTGGCAATCAAGGACGCTCTTGGGATGAAGACGCCGAAGCCAATCAAGAATATCTTCGGAGACATCAATTACTCTGCCAGGAATGACCTTGAGTATGTTGGTTAGCGATTCTATTCACGGTTCAAGCCAGTCAAGATTCCTGATAGCTCCATAGATGCTGAGACTATCGCTACTTTGATTGAGTGGCGAGGAGACAGTCTCCGATTGGCAACCGGCAAACTCAACAAAGGTCGAATTGATGAAGGTTTCTTGGAGCCTTATTCTGATTCCGCTGTCCGTGAATTGGTCCAGCGTCTCCCAAGCCAGAAAGTCCCCATTCGGAAGATGAAGCAAGGGAACCACAACAAGAATTCCTTGTGGGCTCGCCGCTTTGCCTGGGTTTATCAGTTGCTACTTCGACTCAGTGTGACGCTTTCTTAATGGCAACAGTCCCGAGATGATGTCGTAGGATACAAGCTGCAATAAGTATTTGAACGACAGTGTCAACCGTCACATTATCATGACGAGTCCTTTGGCCAATGATGATTCTCGCAAGTTTATTATCTGCATGCCGAAGCAGGGGCAAGAGGCTTACATGTGCTGTATTGATGGAGCACCACCTAGCAAACAGATCTGCACCATTTCCTCAAATTCAGGAGTTTGACGAGGGCGAGGTTAAAAGTCTTTGATGCGAATGGAGAAGAGATCTTGCAAAGTGAGTTTTTGTGCTGCTGTTGCCTCTTTTCTTTGGTCTCCTTTCTAACTGTTGCCATTTATGAATTCCAAGGTGGAGATTGAGTGCAAGTATTTACTGTTGCAGGGGATGCAACAGTGGGAATTGTTGTGGTGTTTTGCCAAGCTATTCTGCTTGGCCTTTTGGTGAGTCTGTGGCACTGTTTTCAACTACTTGCTTGCCTCTACAGATTTCTAACACTTGATTTTCAGTGTTGCATCTTTACATTTTACTCTAAATTGTAACGTGAAGTCATCTGCCAGCAGCTGTGGTACAGCTTTCAAAGGATCGATTCGGCATGTGGCTCATCGGAGATCGCGCGGTGACAGTTGCACCACATCTGCCTGCAAAGCTTGCCTTGTGGAACAGATGACGTGTGGAAACTGTCCTGTCGTGATCTCCTTTTATCTTCATTGGCACAGGCTCCCATTTCCCCCATCCAGTTCGACGGGTGACTGACTGCTGTTGGCACACGACTGATGATTGAACTGTGTGGCGTCGCGCGAGCAAAGTTGTTTCACTGAAGAATGGCTTTCGATTGGCTGATGGGATGAGAAGGGAGGTGTCTCACCGGTTGGTGGTGGCTGCTTGTGAGAGAAAGCATCTCTTTACAGGTGTTTCAGTGGTCAAACAAGGCTTGGGCGATTGGCGGGGATTTATTGTTGCTTTGCTTGAGATTGAGGATTTGCTTCTGTGACTCACTGTGTCTTAAAGAAACGGTTTGCCTTTTTCAATCCCGATTCGGAATGAAATGCCTGATTCGGAATGAAATGACAAAAGAAATGACTTGGATGCGATGCGAGCCTCACTTTTTTCCAAAATCAGTTTCAAAAGTACATTAAACTCAATAGAAAATCATTGCTTCTGCGACTACTTGATCATGTGCTAGCATCACCAACAGTTTACACTCTATGACATTGCTACCCATAGTCCACCCTGGGTTTTACACCTCTCTTAGCACGATGCAGCAGTCAACGCAGCCATTGGGGCAACTTGAAGAAAATTTCATTACCCATACCTTTCAATGCGTCGGTACCAGCCAGTGTTAGTTGCTCTAAGCTCTCTTCTAGTAGTTACTGTTGCTATTGAGATACTATTGAAAAAGTGGGTGTGGGCTACCAGCTTTTACTACTGGCATCAAATTCTAGTACAGAGGTGTTGTTTGCTAGTAATACTGCAGCTTATTGGGGAGTAATTTGGTTTTAGATTAAGCTGAAAAGCAAAAGTGAGGATTTTCTGGTGGTGCATAGCAATTCTTGTGATTGAATTGGATATAAGACCCCCGAGCACTTTAGACCAAAACTCCTTGGTTCCTTGCATGATGAATTTATGCGAACCGGACTAGATGTTAATACACGAGTCAATAGTAAAGAGGTGTCAGGTTGTTTCTCCAACACACTCCTGCACGGTGCCCTAAGTGGCTACCGTGAACGAATAAAATAAATTAGGCAATCAAACAAGGGTGGATGCCCCATGATGAAACCTGTGCTCGTGGAAGAGCTTGCCCTGAAGGGCTTCGTGAAAAAATCTCCACGCATCCCAAGGTTGGCAGTACACAACTCTAAGGTTGCCTTTCCCAATTTGATCTGATCATGAATAAAAAAGAAACGAATGTTGATAGCCCGAGTTCTTTTGCCCGAACTGCCTTTGCCATTCTCTGCAAGAATGATCGTGCTTTTGTTGTCCTGCATGAGGATGTTGTCCTCACACAACGATCCCCTGCTCTTCAAGGAACAACTTTGCCCACAACAATGGGCGACATGACATCGTCAGCCCAATCAATTCCGCTTCAGTGCTGCTTCTTGAGTTGAGCTTCTGTTTCGCGGATACAGAAAGCACCGCTCCTCTTCCAAAGGACATGACTCCTCCTGTATGGGAACGGTAATCAGGATGGACTGCAAATGATGCATCCACCCACCAAGTGATGACACGGATATCATCAACATGGAGTATCAACTTGTCCTCCACTGTTTGGTCCAGGAACTTCAATCCTTGGATCAACTTCCCCAGTCATCAACTGTGGGATTCCTCACACGTGTACAGAGACAATTGTCAGTGTTTGAACATCTGGTTTGCTCTCTTGCACGCGAACAACAGCTTGGCTGCGTTGGTGTGATAGATTTCTCTGGTCTTGTCATCCAAAGCAGCTCCATCACAGAACTGAATAAATCGGCAGGTGCCGCGCTGGGCACCTTCTTCATTTGCTCGAAGTCCACCGGGAACTCCAAGATCATCTTCTTAAGATAGTCAATCATGTCAATGACTACCTTGCCTGGATCGGAAAAGTCCACCGTCATCCCCAAGTAGTCATGCTTGGACCACGGGTTGCCTTCACGGCTCCATAGGTTCCATACCTAGCGTTGAACCATTCCAGAGTTTGGTTATTCACCAACTTCATTCTGTGGCTTGACATTAGGTCATCAACATGAAATCGAATTGTTTGTTGGTACCCCTCGATCATGCGGTTGGCCACACAAGGATCGTATTTGTTGAACACAAATCCAATTTGTTCGAGTCGCTCCTGAAGAGCTTGTACCAGAGTAATGCTGCCAAAACCATTCCGTAGATGGCTCTTTCCACAACGACATAGAGGACTGGTCGTCCCTTCTTGTATGTCAGGAAAGAGGCATATGTGTCAGGATCAATTTCGACAAGTAAGTCTGCAAGGGTCCCTCAATGATCATGAGGACCCTGTCTTCACCTTGTTTGACTTCTGGCATTGGGGTTTGGATGAACGCATTGGGAACATCCAGGGACATCACATCCCTATCTTCAGATGCATCGACACACATGGATAACATCAAACCCTCAAGTGAAACTGTTGGACTTCTGGCATCTTCTTTCTGATGGTACACCCTGGTAGGTTTCCCATTGTAGACTGCACGGGCCTTGACCGTGCCATCCCTTTTCTCACTCACAAACATGAGTGCCATTTGTGCCTTTTTCAATTCAGAATCACTGCATTTGTTTGGGTCGACCGGCTTGGATGGCGCCTGACTCTTCATGGTCTCAATGGCCAATGAGCCAGAGGCACATCATTTCACTCAGGCTTGATCCTTAGGTCCTGGACAATGTGTGTCAGGGTCTCCTCAAAAGGATAATACCTGGTGTCAGCCTCGTCCATTTGGATGGAAGAGGAACTGGCGCTTGGAACTCTTGTTCTGGTTCCTGTAGCTGTTGCCTCTTCCTTGATGGCTTCTTCCTGAGGAATTGAATCCCTACCCCCCCTAGAAGGGTATCTTCCTCCCACCACGACCACCTCTGCCTTGGAATCTCATGGTTGCCGTTGGTGTGGTAATGCACTCTTGTGCTTGTTGCTTGTTCCTTGGAACTAGCTTGTGTTCTTGTGTGGATACTCCTGCAGGAAGGATCTCACGACGGGCACAACTCTTGTAGTTGCCTGTAAAAGTTTCTTGTTGGCTGGATAGCCTTTTCGTGCACTCTTGGTTACTGGCTGAATAGCCTCTGTCTAGTTGACAGCTCACGTTAAAACGTGGTTCTTCTTGTGTCCGTTGTTAGGACGTTTCTTCGTGGAGCCTTGGGTAGTAGCGAACTGCCTCTGTTGGTCTCCTTTTATTGGTGTTCTGCTCTTGCAGATGCCTTATGTATGCTTAGATGAGTGCGCTGAGTGAGTTACAGTCGCTGGAACAGGTGTACGAAGAAGTTTTCGCTCTTCGTGGCTTCTGAAACGTTACCGGTAATTGAACTCTCAAAGCTCACAAGCACCGATGACACGATTGGATGAATCTCGCTCAATTTCTGGAGTTAGAAGCTTCCAAGGATAGCCAGAGCACTGTCGTCGTGTTCCGCAACTTCCTTTGTATTGGTCTCTTTACCTATTTCGCCTTGATCAAACAGTAGCTTGGATCGCGACGATGGGCTCTTGCTCGACCGATTTGACGTGTCAACCTCTGATTTCGCGCGATTGAAGATAACTCACTGGATAACAGACGGATTTCCTTCGTTCAAGTATGAAATCACTCTGTAATCGCGTGTTCTTTACACTGGTACCCTTGGATGTCCGTAGTTCCGGCCGGAAACTTGAGGAGGATCGACAATGGGATTCTCAGTCTTGCTTTGATGACGTTTCGTCTGTTAAAGGTGTTTCGATGGCCTTATAGTGTGGCTATAGGTCAATTCTGCGCACCTCTTCTCTGTTGCAGGTGTTACTCACTTGCTTTGACTTGATAGTCTCTTGGTATCAACTTGATATCAATCTCGAGGTGTTGATCTTCGAACTCGAGATGAGACTTTTGCTTTTCAGTGTTGTTTGCTAGTAATACTGCAGCTTATTGGGGAGTAATTTGGTTTTAGATTAAGCTGAAAAGCAAAAGTGAGGATTTTCTGGTGGTGCATAGCAATTCTTGTGATTGAATTGGATATAAGGACCCCCGTAACACTTTAGACCTAAAACTCCCTTGGTTCCTTGCATGATGAATTTGCATGCGAACCGGACTAGATGATTAATACACGAGTCAATAGTAAAGAGGTGTCAGGTATGTTTCCTCCAACAACGGTGGCCAATGATGGAGCGGGAGCAGCTGCTGCCGCGGCTGGCACAGCACCCTGCTTCTGGGGTGTATTCATGTCATCTCTTGCTCTATAGATTGCTCGCTTGAGGGCTTGATCTTCGATGGCATCATCAGTGTAACCGGCGAACCGCATGGCATCATTCACATTCATCGCATTTCCTTTCTTCGACAGTTTGAGGAACATTGCAGCGCGCTCTACCTTGTCGTCGTTCTTCCTCCGCTTTACCATGATTCTTCTCCTTTATACGCTTGCGGCTGTGTTTCGTTGGTTCTTGCTCATCGTTGTTGCGTTCTTTTCAGTCAGCGTGGATGATGGTTGTGTCGACTTTGCTTGTGGTTGCTCTTGGACGAAATTGTCAAAAGAGGTTTTGTCTGGGAAGTCGTCAGGCGCTCTTTAAGTACGAAACTTCACGTTAAATCCAAATCGTTTTCACTCTAAATAATTTTGTCCTACACGACGTGTTGCTGATGTGGCAAAATAAGCCAGCTCGTGTTGGTGGCAGTTTGTGGTGGGAGATGACAAGTGCAATAAGGCGACAAGTGCAATATGGCGACAAGTCGAAAGTGCGAAAGCTGCCTCTAGCTAGATGTGTTACGATTACGATGTACAGCTGTGGAGTACGATGTAATTGGTAGCATTAAAACATAGCTATCATTTATTATAATCCATATGCTGTACGTGCTATTGTCACTTTGTTGGCCCCTCCAATACAGCCAGTTGCTCCGTGGTCCGGATCTCAAGCTTGACGGAGGCTCTCCTTAACAACATCAAATGCATGTGCTAAAGCTTGGCCAAACAGCACGGCGCTTCCATTCTCTCCGTCGTATGGCAATGTAATCATGACAGTGTCCCATCCATCCTTGGTCGAGGAGACGGAAATCTTCAATCTGTAGGCACGCAGACCAGAGTTTGCTGACTTGACTTTCCTTGGTTGGTCTAGAATCCAGGTACAATCCGAAGGAAGGCAAATGGAAGCGATGTTACGAGTACGGGCTTGATTCATGACTGTAATACGAAAGAGGGGAGTGTAAGCATATTGCTCAAGATTGACCGGGCCAACAGAAGGAGAGCAGACATCACGGCCTGCCAAAACAAGAGCAACAGTCCAAAGAGATGATGCCTCGACGCCGATTTCGGTGCCTGATGTAGTAGCGAGACGTCTCCAGCTAAAGGACATGATTGTTGATTTGTGAGGAGTGTTCCCTTGTCGTCTTGTTCCATCCCACGGGCAGCTCGGCGATCTGATTCAGATTCAAATTCAAACCAAACCAAGGTTTTGAGGCGAATCCAATGCTGCCAAATTCAAATCCAATGCTGCAACATCCAACGTGACAGCAGTTCTCCTTGCCACAACCTGCCGTCCATCGACTTGAACAGCACAGGAAACAATAATTTCCCATCTTAACCATGAAGATCACCATGCCGAGCAAGCGTCCAGCTTTTGGGGACACCCAAAACTATTCGAGCAGCGACTTGCATGTCACTATGATGGATGTGCCCAAGAAGACTCCGGTTCTTTCTTGCCTTGCCTGGAGGCTCAAGCCTCTCAAGCCAGCCTCTCAGAGGAGGCTTCAGGATGGAGTGGAGCTGGCCGTCGAAGACTTGGCAAACAATCGAGATGTGACAATCTTTGTGACTCTCCCGGGCTTTGTCTATTGGCCAAAGGAAATGTTTGTTGATTTCGTTGGCTACTGCCAATTCCGTGGAGACGTGGAGCGCCTTTGCACTGCAATTTCCGATTGTATTGTCCTGCTCACGACCACCGGCACTGTTGTCACCATCCGCATCTACGGAAATGACAAAGCAATGACTGCCACCAAGGAAGACCAGAATGAGTCTTTCGATTCCTTTGAAGAGGAGGAAGGCCTCACTCAAGACATTCTGCCCGCTTTGAAGATGACTCCCAAGAAGAAGCCCGCCAGCAAGAAGCGTGGGCTCAACTGAGCCGCTATATCCAGCGGCGGAAGAGCCGCCATGGTCGACTATTTTCGAAGAAGAATGGTGGCGCCGAAAGAAGTATCCTGTCAGTCCCATGGAATCGTGATAGGATAGATTTAATAATAAATTATAGCGTGAATCAATGTGTTAAATATCTAGTCGTGACGCTACCCAGTAGACATAAAGGAAAATATTTTACAGTGAAACAGTAGGATGACATCTTCTTGCGAAAAAAGGGGTAAATCTCGTACCGTATGACGTAGCTACACGTATGGTACGTGTACGGTACCGGTAGGGAATGGTGGATTGGTCGTTTTGGCTGTTTTCGTTGTTTTCGCGGTAATTCGGCCAGGACGCAGAAGCAAAACGCAAAACATGAGCGAGATAAACGCGAAACTCGTGGTTTAAACGCAAAATTCGTGGTTTGAGTCCCGTCATTATGGGAAGACTAATTTTATAATTAAATTTTAGCTCGGGACTGAAACCGCGAAACTCGCGGAAACTCGCGGAAACTCGTGTTTTGTCGATGTGGCGTTTTTGTCGCGTTTTTTGGCCGCGAATCATGCCAAAACCGCGAAACTCGCAGATTCAAAGATGCATATTAATTTTGGCAATCCACTGAAGCCAAAAATCACCACGCACCTGTTGCCAGTTCGAAGCTTCAACATTCTGCCTTCTCTCTAAACCCAAACCCATACTCCAGTACACAAGTGACCCCCAAAAGCACGCACCTTAGAGGAAGGGTTATACTATACAATACGTATCATATATATCATATGAATGATACATATCATACGAAACACAATTATCATAAAAACCAGATGATATAATATTATTATATATATTAACCATATGATATATATGATATATAATATATACAATATGTATCATATGATATGACGAATTTTTTCCAGTTCTCTAAGTTGCCAGATCTCTCTGAACTGAAGCACCGACCAAAGTGCCACAACAACCAATATGGATACCTATCTTGCTGAACTGAATGATGTTGCCCAATATGATACCAATGTAGAAGAGTGGATCCCTCCTTCTATTAGTGTAGCTGTGGCAACGTCTCTAATAAATGAAACTCCTATAACAATTGACATTATGCAAACGCTTGGCCAGCTTGGCAATGCTCAAATTGACAAGACCGACGTGTATTGCTGCCAAGCAAATTCAACAAAGATGAAAAAAAGTTTATCAAAGAGGAACTGATGTCTGTATTTGCACTTGCATGCAAGGAAGCAGGCTTTAATGTTAAAAACAGAGGCTATGACAGACGAAGAGCCTACCTTACGCGTGTGCCCGAGACATAGGTATTATAAGAAAGCACCATCAAAGGCAACCAACACAGTCCTACTACCCAAATCAGTTACCTATAATTGAAAAGACAAAGTTTGTCCTTTCTATTTTAATGTTTACTTCAGTAATGAGCACAGGCGATGGTTCTTGCCAGCCAAACAAGGCGGAAGCACCAAACACATTGGACATCCGAAGCTCGACCCTAGCCAAATTCAAGTTCAGATCAAACATTTGGGTTCCGAGGCGGTCACATTGGCAGATCAGTGCCTGAAAAATCACTTGCCTCCCAGTGTGATAAAAACTTTGCTGTACGAAACCACTGGTGCTACCCTGAGTTCAAAGCAGCTGGAGGGCATGAAGCGGAATCTCCGGCAAGGGATTGTGCTCTCGATAATGAATCTCCGGCAAGGGATTGTGCTCTCGATAATGTCAGCTGATGGTGTTGAAACGCAAGTCCCTGCTGATGAAGCAACAGCAGCTGACCGGCTACTCGCACGGCTCCAGTCGGATAAGACAAAGGCTTTTGTAGTCTTGTTTGCCGATTTTGAAACTGGACACCTGAGATTTAGACAAAGACGAAGAGGTGCCGCTCCTCAAGACATTGATTCCAATGTTCTGGCCAATGAAGTCGACAGTGCTGCAGCATTTTCTGAAAAGGTTAGGAATGCATTATCCATTACCGGATCGGGCTTGATTCTTCTTGCACTAGCATGGACAACAGAAAGTGCACAGCGGCTCTTCCGAATGTACCCCGAGTATAAATCAGGTGATATTACTTTCAAAACAAATGCGGAGAAGAGAGAGCTGCAGACTGAATCAGGCAAAGCTGCAGATGGGCAAACATTCAGTCATACCTTTACCTATTTTCCGGCGGCACCACGTTGGGTTTTTCGCTGGTTGCCCATATAATGCTGGTACAATGACGTGCCTGCCTTGTGAAGCTTAAGGGACTGGGGGTTTAAAGGTATCTGGTCTTCGGGTAAACCAATAGCATGAGCCACGCAGTCCAGACAGTAGACTTGATCCTGTGGGTCTAAGATAGTATGAAGCTGAATCTTGCCCTTCTTCTTGGGATCAACATAAGACCTTAAAACAAGGGGAATCTTGTCCTTCACACACTCGACAAGCTGCTCTTCGGAGATTTCCCAACGCCAAAAAGGTCCACAATTGTCCGGGCCAGGAGGAGCGCGCACTTCATCTATTTGCATTTCTGCTAAGGCATCGTCCCTCATGGGGTTAGTGTCACCTTCAGCCATGATACCTATGAATAAAGCCATATACAAACAGCAGAAACAAAGATTGCAGTCAGTACAATACAGAAATATGTATGATATACATTATACATATAATAGATATAGTACATACGATACATACGATACATATCATACATATCATACATACGATACATATCATACATATCATACAAAAGGTTTGTATGATACATACAATAAATACCATACGTATCATACATACGATACATATTATATATATCATACGTACGATACAAAGGGTACTTACAGGATTTCAGTACTGTGATCTACTGGTGAAATGGAAATGTGCTGTTTCTTGACTTCCTTGACTTCCTGGGTGGTGTCCTTCCTTGTTCACCTTGTTCTATCAGTCTATGAATAATAGAGAAAGAGTGAAAGCATTGTTGAGAGACTTGGGTATGTCATGGAGGGAGGAAAGAAGAGAGGGTGATATGACATCAACTTTTGCTCATCTGATGAATAGCCACTCTCTCTGACCATTTCACAAGCAGGAAGCTGAGTAAATGTACCTGATAGTAGTGGTAGAGATGGTGTGAGAGCTGAATAACAACAGAAGCAACAATAGCAGGAGCAACAAGAGGAGAGAAGAAGAAGTGTGGATGGTGGTGTTTTTGTTGTTGGTGTGCTTTTTAAAAATGGCTGCTGCTGATCAAGGGAGTTCTCATTGGTCCATGTTCGCGCGTATAATACGTACGATACATATGATACGTACAATACGTACGATATATACAATATGTACAATACATACAATACGTACGATACATATTATATGCATCATACCCTTGAAACTCAAAACCTTAAGGTGCGTGCTTTTGGGGGTCTCTCTGTGGATGTACTGGAGCGTTCCTCAATCGTGCATGAAACCGACCCTAAAATAGGGTCGGATTTAGGGTCGGATTCCCTTTAGGGTCGGGTTTCGAAACCGACCCTAAAAATAGGGACGTTTTCTGAAAAATAGGGACGGTTTCTGAAAAACCGTCCCTAATTTAGGGTCGGGTTTCGTTTTAGGGTTCAGGGTTCGGTTTGAAAAACGTCCCTAAATAGAAACAGGACTGCCTGGTAAATACATTGAAAACGCACCAATATTAGGGTCGGGTTTCGAAACCGACCCTAAAAATAGGGACGTTTTCTGAAAAATAGGGACGGTTTCTGAAAAAACGTCCCTAATTTAGGGACGGGTTTCGATTTAGGGTCGGGTTTCGAAACCGTCCCTATATTTAAGGACGAATTCCCCCAAACCGTCCCTAAATTAGGGTCGGATTTAAAGTCATGCACGATTGAGGAACGCTCCTGGTGCCGATTTACGACACCAGAACGAAAACGAAATGATTGTACTGTAGTAGAAACTTGAACGCATTGCCATCTCTCGTACAGCACCCGTCGGCGTTCCTTCGTCTTGATGCAGTGGTGTTGCTGTGAACTGTTCCTCGCCCTGCGGGAAGACAGTGCGACATGGTGCTCGCTGCATTGGCATCATCTTTGTTGGTCGGCAATGCAGCTCGATTTCAGCCCTTCAGGACCGATCTATAGGTACAGTTTCGGGCAGCGGTATGTACCCGTATCCATCGTGTGTCTCGGCCTAAAGGATGACAATGTCCTAGGGATACCAACATCGTAGCATCCATGGCAATCTCAATCCCAACAATCTTGATGGCCATTTTGCTGCTCCTTCCGCTGCTGGCTCAAGGCATGCTTGTCCAAAAAGCCTTGATAGTTCAAGCCACAAAAGGGTTGGTAGCATTGGGGGCCAGTATTGCTGGGTGGAACCAATCGACAAGGCAGTCGTTCTACCCATGCTTGAATACGGACAGGTTTGGAAGACACCATGACCACTCCCAGTTCTACGTTCTTGGGCATTGCATCTCCCAATCCCCATGCAGCTCGGCTGAAGTTGTGCGACCCTACATAGAGAACTCCTTCGGTGTTGAACAGGAACTTTCCATGGGTGGTGGGGGCAAGTGCTAGATGTTGTTCGTGCGTCGAAAGACCATGCTTGTACAGTTTGCTATTGGGAGGATTGGGCGAGGCATTGCCAAAGATATTGGTTCGACTTTGAACGGGAATGTTCTTGTTCCAATGATACGCCGGCAAAGGACGAATGCAACGCAACCCGGTCAGATCCGATTGTGCCGCCAATTCCACAGACGGCCACAGGCACTTGACACGATCATCCACTTGTTCCCATGTGGCCGTGTCTTCGGAAAAGCTTTGAATGCCTTGCATGGCTTGATGCATTTGCCACAAAAAGCCTGGTTTCAGATTCCCCATGGAGCCCGACGTGGCATAGAGAATGGCATTCTTGGATGTCACAGAAATACGTTGTTTGAGTTCGGCCTTTGCCACGGCCAGTACCAATTGCTGGTATCCGCCACAATCCTTCATTGCCTCTTTATCTTCCTTGGTTCGAGGCAAGGAAAAGACCAAGTGTGCTTGATGATTGGAAAAGTCAATGCCTTGGAGGAGTGCGTGAATCCGACCTTGAACCACGGTCTGGTGGTCGGACTGATCACATTCTGTCAGGTCCGACAGAAACGTCCGTATGCGATCTTCAAATGGGTTGCTGTTGTGGTCTTTTGCCAACTCGTTTGTAGTATGAAAGTCTTGTATCCACAAGACATCGCGTTGTCGTTGCCATTGATGTTCAATGAGATTATTTCCAGAGACAACGACTCGTAGACCCTGGGGACAACGAAAGAGCAGCAACTTGGCATGGAGACATCCCTCTGTATGAGGTCGTGTCTTGAGCCATTGCCAGTTTGCTTCTGGCGTGATGGGCATGAGCATGGCCTTTCCAATGGTGGCAGAGGCTCTAGTATTTTACAAGAGGGATTCACCACGAGCAATTCCGGGAGATCCGTAAAGACTTGTTGGAAATAGTGCAGTCCGCTGGAATGAAAGGTGGTGGCCAGAGCACTGGTACAATGGGGTGGGACCAGTTCGGGGAGACTGTAGAATCCTTGGGTCCAATCTTCTTGGGTGTCATCAATTTTGTTGCGGTAAATATCCTCTCCGTTAAAGGTTCCAAAGGGGACATGTTGTTGTTTAATTAAGTGTTGTCGCTGTTTCCACAATGCCAAGCGCTTGGCTTCATGCACGTTGACAGAGTCCGCTTTTGGAATGTCATCATTGTCGTCGTCCGCCGTCAAATCTACCACGGAGTCTTCACTCGGCTTGCCATTCGATTGGTTCTGGTCGTTACTAGATTGGTTGTCGCTGCATTGGTCCTGCTTTGTACTGGATTGATTCTCCTTGTTACCAGTGGTAGATTCATTGTCGGATGGTGCACCATTTTTGGAGATACCTGTTACCAAGACCAATGCCAGGTTCTGCAATTTTTTGACTCTGGAGTCTTTCAGCACTTTTCTACGGGGAGGATCTCCGACCAGTACCTTCAATCGGCAAGAATGATATTCCAGTCCAAACTCATGACTAGCGACTGCTTGGATATACACCAGAGTGCAGTGGCGAGAAGATAACTTTAGAATGTGACGCTTTTCGCCATGCTTCAAGCAAATCTTCTTAATGTCATTGCTGGTGCCACGATGGCGCTTGTAGCTCTCATCAGAGCCGCTGTTGATCAAGGCGTCGGCTTTGCGAACAGTAGACGAAGGCTTGTCAGAGGTATCGTTATCGTCGTCATCGGGCATGGCTTTTTATACATACTTAAATACCCTGTCAAGTTAATGAACTCTTCGTCCTTTTTCTGCCAGAGAGTGAACGGCCAGTGGTCTCCTGTGTGAGTGAAGATTTACTTCTCTGATTCACGACTTCATGCCACTCGGGTTTCAAAAACCGTGGTCAACTCTGTTGGATCTTTGTCATGGAGTGGTGTGAGACGTGGCACATCTTCACCGCTTTGTACCTCCTTAGCTCACTAAAGAATTCGGGTACCGGTACCTGGTAAGGACAACAGGGGACACCACACCCTATTCTATCCACCATGGAACGACGACAAGAAGAAGAAGAAGAAGAAGGAGCAGGAAATGAAGAACTTTTGAAGGGGGAGAAGAGATCGACGTCAAAGATTTGCTGCCCCCACCTCCCTCCAGCAAAAAGAAGAAATGTCAACAAGAACAAGAGCGCCAAGAAAGCGACCACCTTGCTGGAAAGCTTCCAAACCATGATCCCTCGAGATATTGTTGTCAAGAAGATCATGCCTTATTTGGATCGTCCATCGGTCGTCGTCATGATGAGCGAAACTTTGAAGAAGGAGCTTGGATATCTCCGACTGCACGAGAATTTTTGTAACGAACATGGTACCGGTAAGAAAACCAGGAACCAATTAAAGGAGGAGGGACATTTGGAACAAGAAGAAGACCAGGATGAAGAGGAGGTTGCTGTGGAAAAAGAAGCTGATGCAGATGCACATGAAGTTGACTTGGTAGTGTGTTTGGACTGCGTCAAGGAAGATGAGGAAGGTGAAATTCGTTGCGACAAATGCGACACGTTTTTCTCAGAAGAAGAGATGGAGGACGGGTGTTCTGATTGTCACCCCAATAACCGATTCTGTGACAGTTGTTACAGTGATATTGGGGAAACATGCAAATTTTGCCACGTAACCTATTGTGAGTGCCAAAAACAACGAAGTTTATCCTGCTGTGGTTGTTGTGAGGAGTGGTTCTGTGAATGCCACCACGAAGATCGAGAATTCGTTGGTTATGACTATTGTACCTTCGAGTGTGCCAACAATGGCACCGAGACTTTCTATGACGAGGAGTATGATTGATGGTATTACGAGTCGGATGATTGTGCAGACTACGAATCCGATAACGATGATTGATTAGACTATTGGTCCTACTGCGCCGTGAAACTATTATTACATACTGAATAATATGGTTATTATAGTCATTGGCTTGATAGCCTGTCGACCAATCTTCGCTCTCTTTGATTTGGCAATAATTGTACTGTAGAGGACAAGCTGGTCGCCTGTGTGAATGAAGAGTTTTGCTTTGATGATGGAATCATTCACAACTCCATGCCACTCGGGTTTCAACAACCGTTGATCTTCAACTCACTCTTTTGGATCTTTGTCATCGACAGCTTGCCACCATCCAAATCGCTGATTATCGGTAGCTCTAACTAGAGGTCACATACTTTCGTCATTGAATATTGGGACGATAAGACCACCATGATACTGCAACGGCACTCGGCTATGAGAAGGATCTGCTGCAAAAGATCCAGACCTCCTTGGGGACGAACTGTTCGGCCTCCTTCTAGTTTTGCATCTGTTTGGATGGGTAGCAACGATATCTACCATCCATCGTCTTTTTCAGGCCATGATTATCGCTATGCTTCTTCTTCGTCATCTCAGATTAATATCAGTGGATTTTCCCGCAATGACAGTTTGGACGATGCCTTGGCCGCTCTTCCCGACGATGGTCAATTGCAGTTTGACTTTTTTGGAGAACCAGTCACCTTTTGTGGTGTCGTGGGACAAAGAGATAATACCATGAATGCCATGGCGGCAATGGATGGATTCCTACTGGCCATTGCCACCAAAGGAAAAACATGTACAGGAGGTGGTGGAGAACAAGGATTGGAAATGAAAGCTGCTCATGCTGCCGCCATTGCGCATGCTGAACTCTTAAGACATGCCAAAGTGTGGAATGGTAGTACAGAAGATGAAGAAGAATTGACTAATGTCGAGAAGGAGGATAATGGTGAAGGAGAATCACAATCAGAAGAACAAACCACCAACAATTCACAAAACAAATCAAACGCTAACACCACAAACAATTCACAAAAATTTGCACCCATGTTAGTGGTGGCGGCTGTGGCTCCCGTCCTGGCCCAAACTGGCAGGGGATACATTCATTTTCTCGACAAACTACTCCAGCATGGAGATTCTCTGGTGCCTGGAATGGGACCTTTGCAAATGATGCCCTTGATCGAAACCGCGATCCAGCGAAAAGATGACCCCGCATTGAACGAACGAGAACAACAACACATTCTCGCCATGGAACAAATGATGCAATACGACTATTCAACCGCATTGATGACCTACATGAAAATACTCCAGACTTGTCCGGGTGATGTCTTGGCATTGAGTCTGACCATGGATCTCGCATACATGTTGGGCGACAAGGCAATGGCGTTGAGGTAGGCTCCTTAAATCATTGATCTGTCAGAAACTGCTCATTGTTAAGCTTTCCCCTGGGCTCACAATTTTATTGTTCCTGCCTTTTTCTACTCACAGAGCAGCAACGTCGGTGTCGTCCTATTGGAACGAACGACGGGGTGGTATTATTCAGGCTGCCATTCCGGGATATAACATTGCCTGTTCCTGGCAAGCGGTAGGATTTGCCGTGGGGGGACGACGTGAAGAAGCCGAACAAATTGCCGAACGAAATCTAGCCAAAGACACACAAAACACCGGGGCCGTCACGACATGGGCACTGGCTCATGTCTTTGATGCCGAAGGACGCGTCGCCGAAGGAATATCCTATCTTGCCAATTTCGATGGGACTCGCAATTATGAAGGATGTGGACTCTTATTCTTTGATTGTAGACTGACTGGATACGGGGCATTGTATTCCATTGATCGAGAACAACGAGGGAGAGGGCGAAGTTCCGCCCTTCGATTGTACGATGCCAACTTTGAACGAGTCTTTGAGTACAGTGGATTCTCTCAGGGAAGGGCTTGGACTCGACCGTTACGAAAAGCACCCATTGCCTGGGTACAACGCGACAATGATGGAGAAGGCAGTTCAGCAGCCAAGTTTTTGAAAAACTTGTTGGGCGCTGGAAGCAAAACCGAGGATTTGAGTGAAACACAGATTGTTGTGCGAGAAACTCTACCTCCGTCATTGGAAATTGATTCGTTCGACCCCTCTTGCGAAGATGTGCTGACATGGTTACCACCAACCCCCCCTTTGTTGACAGAAGCTACGCTACTCATGTTCCGACTCACACTTGGAGGAACTGTATCTACCAAAGACATGAGATGGGATTCACTAAGAAACTCGTGGAGAACCTTGTTGGACCTACAAAAAGATGAATTTGGTAACCCTGTCTCACTGGAACACTTCCCACTTGCCTGTCTCGCAGCGTCCATCTTGCTGCCCGTGGAAGACACTGGAGGCGACAAACTTGGCAACGGTAGAATGGCGAGGGGTTTGTACATGCTAGGTGAAATGTTGGATATTGGAAACATGGCCGCACCTGACGACGAAGACGCACCGAAAGATATCCAGGTGATTGCAGAATTGGAGCCCAATTTCTGGCTTCCTGCCGAGGACAGTCTACGCGAGGAGTGGAAAGAAATTGTAGATCATTTGGCTGCTGGAGTCGATGGCATTGGTGCAGACGACAAAGTGTATCGTGGACTCCGATTTGATCATTGGGATTTTGAGTCGAGACCGGTCGTGGAACATGCCATTTGTTACGCTGCCTGTAGATCTGGGGACACTGACAGCCTTGCCTTTGCGCGATGCATCAGCAGCCATGGTGTTTCCTTGAGGAAGAATTCTCCCGAAGAATGGTGGAGATACAGCATCATCCTCGGGTTGCTAGGAGATCAAGTGGCGTCCGAAAATGCATTGGCTGTTGCAGTCAACATCGGTTCTGGACAAGGCCAGCGAGACTGAGATGGCGTGGAAGATAGATGTAGAAAAACAATCAACTTTACGGCGGAGACGACATTGTACAAACCATTGCTGCGCATCTAGATAGAATTGAAGCTCCTGTCGTGATGATACTTGCTAGTAGGAAGACAAGTGTTGTTTTTCTAACCATAACGAAATAGAGAATCCCGTCGTTCCCCAGAACCTCGCTTCCAATCCTCAGCCGCGGCAGTACGGTACCGTCAGCCAACTAAATCTTACGGATCTCCAGGTGCAAGCGATTGGGAATGTTGTGGTCTAACTCCACGTCTCCAACGCCTCCAGCAGTTTCCAGTTCTTCCCTCTTCATGGGGTGAATCTCCATGACACCATATGTGCCACCGGTGGTGTTTTTGGTTAGGTGCCCCGGGTTGACCAAGACTGTATCACCAAGAACAGGTCTCGCAAAGCTAGTCAGCTTGGAGGGGACAATCAGCAAATCCGGCTGGCACGGCATGGACCACTGCTTCATCCGTTTCAGATCCAAGTTGGCGCCAGGAAAGGCGGGAAAAAGAGGATAGTAACTGCGCTGTTGCAACATGTGTTGGCCGATCCGAGCCAATCGGGATCCAGGTACCAAGTTGGCGTTGGTTTCATCCGCACTCATGTGGAAGATGGCATCCGTGCCAGTGACACCAATGATGACTTCATTCAATTGCAGCGTGCAGGGGTTTGAAACGCAGTGGATCCGACGAAAGGGTGCATCTGCAGATGCAGCATTATTGTCACCTGCAGCTCCTTTCTCGATCTGATCCAAGCCCAAGGTGTTGATCTCCAAGCCGTCTCCTCCAGCTTTCTTTAGAATGACTTTTCCCCGTTGCCCAAAGACTCTGTCTTGGAAGGGCGCCTGAGGGTATCTGCATGGATAATTCGAGTGGAGTATGGAATATTATATTGTGAGATACACACTGACAAAAACACAACATGCCAGCTCGCAATCAACACTTGGGTACTTACGCCCAGTCGGCCGTGGCATCATCCAAACTGGGCACTAGCACAAACTGCGTTTTGAAATCTCCCCCTTCAAAGAATTCTTCCAAGAGACCCGCAATCTTGTTGGCAAAGAATGCTTCGTAGGGCACAGTCATGTCATCGCTGCCGTCGCTGAACAAGAGAGAAGCTTCTCCACTTTGAATATCCTTGTGACGCAAATCGACAAAGGGTCCCACCATGATGACGACATCGGGTTTTTCTTGCATGACGATACTCATAAAGTCAAATAATGGATCGTATCCGAGATTGTCACTGGTAGTGTAGGGTCCAGCGACCGTCATGATTTTGAGGGGAGTGCCATTTTGTCGCGAATAATGATACTCCAAGAGCTGCTTGGCAGTACTCTTGTTTCCACCGTGGGCAGCCCCCTCGCAGATTCGATGGGCCGTCAGTTTTCGTCCCGTCGAGTTCATGCCCTCGACCGCCACAATTTGTCCGGGAAAGAGGGAAAAGTCTTTTTGTTTTTCGCCGTCTTTCAAGAGCGACACGTCCATTTCAATGCGAGCACCTCCCAAGTGTTTGGATCCTTCCAAGACGACTGATGTATGATTGATGCGTCCTTCGTGGGCCTTTTTTCAGTATGGTACGAGTGGTACAACATATACAGCAGAGTTAGTTGAGAAGAAGGCCTTGAAATAAATGAACAACGATCACAAACAAAAACTTACCGCATTACAAATGCGACCAATACAGCAAATCTTGTCTTGGCGTGGCACGGCGACCGCTTCCAAGGGTGCAATTTCTGCCTCATCTTCCATCATCATGGGAGTATCATCGTCATCTTTTCCCTTGATGTTGTACCGTTCCATCATGATATCCTCCAATTGGACCAAATGTTTGTCCAAAGCCTTGGCCCGATCCTCCATGGTGGTGAACAAATGACGATGGGGTTGGGCTGTGACATTGGTGTCAAACTGTTGGTAGGCAATGCTGCATTTGGGAGTTGTCGTCGTGTTGCTGTCAGCAGCAGTAGTAGTGGGTTTGAGATCATTGGGATTAAAGGTGAGAATCACTTTTCCAGCTCCCGCTCGTTCCTCGTATTTGGGTGGCGTGTAGGAAGGACTGGCACTCTTGACGGGAGATGCCGTAGTGGAAGAAAGGACGGCATCCACCGCCGATTTTGTATTATTGGGTGGTGTGGCAACTCGTTTGGCCGGAGGCGTCACGGTAGGCAATTGTCGTTTTCCCATTGCAGGGCGAGTCTGAACGGCTCCACTACTACTACAACTTTCGACTTGGAGAGGTGTGGGATTTCGCTCGGCTTCCTTTTCCAAATCGCTGCGAAAGGATTGCCAGGAATGCTCATCCAAAGCGTCAATGCTCTTGTTCAAACTGAAACTTTCCCAGCATTCGGCCATGGATTTGGAACTAATATGATGATTGTTGGCAAAGGCGACGCCTGAGAAGGATTGGATGGACAGCCCAAAAGAAGGAAAACAGGAGAGAAAGAAGACAATCAAAGACATTAGTTGGTATTTGGTATGGGTAGCCTACCCGGGTATTGATGGCTCCACAAAACTTGACTTGGGAAGACAGCACTATTAACAACAGACTTTGAGGCAGGAACCCTCATTTACTTACATTTGGAAATCATGGACTGATCAACGCTAGTCAAACCCACTCCAGCAAACGCCTGACGGATCTCATCCTTCGATACTGTCTTCATGGTTGCTGTCTCTGTTCATTCAATAAACTGCCTCACCTCTCCTCTTCTTCTTTGTGAAAGGCTGAGCGTTTACTTCCCGTTGGTCTCAGCATTGGCTTTCGATGGCGCCAAAATATACCTCTGACCCTAACCAAAACGTCTTCGAAAAAGCTTTAAAGGCGTCTTTTCCTTATTTTCTTTCACTTTTTCCAGTACCGTACGGTACCGGTACCGAATCTCTCTTGAATTATAATATTCGGATCCATTGATTGAAGGTTGCTATTGATGAGAGAGATCTTCCATTCTTCTATGAATGTAATTCCATAGTAATCTATATATATATGAATGGCAATGCGGCAATGACGACTATTAGTATGAGGAAAGAGAGGCACCAACACGCATTTACCTCTCTACGTCTCTGTACTCTTTGTGTCTTTGTCGGACTGGCATTCAGTTGGGTATCTCTTGCCCATTGGCTGCAGCTAAGTCCAGAAGTTGTTTCTACCAATCCAAGACAAATAAACCAACAAGCTGCCAATGATGATGATCCCTATCCAGAAGGAGCACCGCCAGTGATTGGGATTCGTGAGGATGTGGTCACCGCGGGACGAACGACCGAAATTGTTTACGCCACTACTTCTGCCTCGACAGGACAAGATATTGCACTGTTACTTCATGGATGCTCCCACAGTGCCTTGAAATTCTTTTCTCCTTCGCCATCCTGTTCCACGTGCATTGGACTCTCGGAAGAAATGCAGATTGCTCGGATACTGGTAGAGCAACCAAGCATTGCCGTGGTTCTGGCCGTCACTTCGCAAGATCGCAAGTCGGGTTGTTGGGGTCAACAAGACACGGCTCATGTCCAAGATGCAGTCGAGTATATTTGGAAGCAAGTATTAGAATTACAGACACCACAACAACCACAACATGGCCGTCTCTGGGCGTTTGGGGCATCTTCCGGAGGACGATTTGCCGCACAATTGGCCGTGGAGGGAATCGTCCAGGGAGCCATGGTGGGCGTCATGAGTTTGGGATCGGCTCTGATAAAAAAGTGGATGCAACAATCCCAACCACCCATCTACTTGGCACCCATGCCACGCGACAAGAGAACCCTCCAAGGAACACTCCAAGATTATTCCGACATGACACGCATCAACAATCAAAACAATCTACACAAACATGCCATTTTGGATACCGACACGTGCACACCCTTTCCCGTCACGGCAGTGTATTTGCACCAACGAGTCCCTCACATGACACTCATCATGGCCCAGCAAATTGTGACGGAGCTACAAACCAGTGGACACATGGATGCTACCACGGGCATGTTGCTCAAGGATCCCACCAAATCCGATTGGAGAGATATTCTTAAAGCTACGTGCGGCGGGGAATGTCTCCATAATCAACCATTGGGACCTGGGGTGAGCCCCTTGGCCAAGGCATTGCACAGAGCTTGGGCATTCCACGAGTACTGTTCGGAAGCGACACTCAAGGCACTGGACTTTTTTCACAATGCAGTGTCATAATAGCTGATGGTGATATCCCCAAGGCGACAACACGGCACGGTACAATTCAAAGGTTTTCCCAATAACGTTGCGACTTCGCGGGGCAGCATGGATTCAATGGGCAAGCAGTTTTCCTTCCGCGGATTGATTGGGTCGGGCCTTAAAATCCTGAAAGAGAGCTTCATCGTAGCTCTCGCGATGCTCAAGCAGTTGCCAATGCAAAGCCTCGCTCGAGTCGTTGGAGGCAATCGCAGGTCCAGTGTACTTTACTCTGGCAGCAAAAGAAAGTATTCCTGGAAACAGAGAGTAGTCAGTTCATCATCAGACTATCATACGAATGTTACCGTAACAAAGAGTTTGACCATCGTTACTGGTGCGGTATGCCTTCCGGCAACGTTAATCAGTTGGGGTATGACTGTACAGTTTTCGTGGCTACCAGTTCGACTACCTATTTCTTATCTAAAATCCTATAGAGCGTCCAAAGACATAGTAAAGTCGCTGCTCGTGGTTTCCAATCTAAAGGGAACAACTTGCCACTACCTAGGTCTTCGTTGTTGTCTACTCTTTCAAGATTCCCCTCGATTTCAAAAAGGCTTCATTGCTGGGCGGTCGTCCCAAGAACTTGGTCAAGTGATCCGTAATGCTGTGTGTGCCGCCGGGAGCCAGCACCATTTTGCGATAGTCCATGCCGACTTTGGGGTTCATGACACCTTCGGCTTCAAACCGAGAAGCAAACATGTCAGCACTCAAAACCTCGGCCCACATGTATCCATAGTAGGAGGCGGAGTATTGATTCATCAAATGGGAAAAGGTTCGCAACATGTTGTTCCCGGGAGGATTTTCAATCAGGGTGATTTCAGGACGCAATTTGTCTACCAATTGCTGTAATCCAGCGGCGTCCTTTGGTGGATCGGGCCCATGAATGTTCAAATCGAGACGGGACAAGTAGATTTGTCGGAGTGATCCAAATGCCACATTGACGTGCTTGGCACGAATCATGGACTGGAGCATGTCACTGGGCAAAGACTCACCAGTTTGATGATGTTTCGACAATCGTTCCAACACACTTGTTTGCCAACACCAATTCTCCAGCATCTGGGAGGGCGCCTCAACGAAATCGCGGGGGCATTTGGCCAAATGGGTTGAATTCCCGACACCCTCGCTGCAAAGTCCGTGCATAATGTGGCCAAATTCACTAGGAAGTGACAGAGAACAAGAAGACGATGAGAAAACGCAGTTTGCGGTATGATTCAACAGTGCACTCAACAAAAACCATTTTGCTTACTGGACTGGAATAAAAAATTGAATTGGAATACATGATGAGTGTGCAATTAAGGTAAGTGCGTGTTAGATGGATGTCAGGACAAATGACACCGAGAGTTGAGTTTCGTCCTCTTTTGCTACATGTACTTACAGAATGTCACCACGTTGGTGTGCAACAACAAGCTCGGTTTGTCTGCCGTACCGGGAGGCAGATTGCACAGCATGCAATCCACTGCCCCGTGATCCTCTGTGTGCTTGACGAGATGAAAAATGGCGGCATGACCATACTTGCCCGGTCGAGGATGCAAATCCAAGTAAAAGTGTCCAATGGCTGTACCCGAGGCAGTGTCAACGACACGAAAGCATCGTACTTCCGAGGGATACCAACACCAAAAGGTACCCTGCGGCAATTCTTGAAAGGTCAATCCCAACAACTCTTGATAAATGGCCAGTGTCGTTTCGACGACGTGATCGAGTGGAAAGTACTGTCGAATTGCCTCGGAATCGACACCGTATTTGGTCTGCAGTAGTCGATTATTGTAAAAGGAGGTATCCCATGCATTGAGTTTGCCATCAAACTCTACTCCAGTCTCGCTGCAATGTTCTTTTTTGAGCTGCAGCAGAGTGTCATAGTCCTCTTTGCCACTGTCGGTCAATTTGGACTGCAAATGAGACAAGAAGTCATCTACTGCTTGGTAGGACCCACTCATGCGTTTGGTGCAAACGTACTCGGCCCAACTGGGATATCCGAGCATGGTTGCAATTTGCTTGCGCAGTTGAATCCCTTGTGCTACCAGGTCTAAATTGTCCTTGTAAGAAGCACTCTCACCTTCCCGTGCATCTCCAATTTTTCGTCGTGTCTCTGCCACTTGACAAGACTGTCCAATGGGGATAATGTCTGGATATTTGAGGGTAATTGTGCATTTTCCTTCCTCATCCTTGCCGAGTCGATCCTGAATAAAATCGTCCTTCATGCCCTTTAATTCTTCGGGTGTAAAGAATAGTTTGGTATTGTCGGCTCCCAAGGCTTGACTGAATTTGGAACAAACGGTGGTGTCTTCGGCCAACAAATCCTTGAGTTTTTGGGCGTCTTCTTCGGGCAGTGCCAATCCCGCTCGTTCAAAGTCTTCTCGTGCCGCCTTGACGAAATGTTGTTGATACGGAGTCAACGTCGCCACCGTGTCGGTCATCTCGGAAAATGCCTTGACACGTTCGTAGACGGCTCGATTCATGCGTCCTTGCACTCGCGACGCGGCAAATTGCTTTCCGGCCGCACTGGCCGCCTCTCGAATTTTGGCATCGGTACTGCAGTGCTGCAAGAATTTGCAAGCCACCAACTGTGGATTGGTCTTGTAGTTGGGAGGCGTCATGAGTTTGGCAATGGTATTCTCAAAGGTAACGTCTGCCAAGGGAATTGCTGCAATCGTATCCAAATTTTGTTGCGTGGCTTCGAGAATTTCTTTGGTAGACGCTTCAATCTCTTCCACCGTCAGCAGCCATTGAATGGGAGGGACCGTCTGGTCCGTGGCAGCCTTTTTGGCCAGCGCCTTTTCCACATCGGACGGAGCGCAGCTGCCACAAAACTCAAACGAAAAGGGTTCATGATCCACACCAGCCGCGATAGAGGTGGCGTAGGATTGAAAGCAGCAGGGGCACAGCGGTTTGAAGGGAGTTGTAGTGGACATGGTGGGTTGGACAGCAACAACAATCAATCGACAATCTAACCAAGCAAACTGACCAAGAGCTGAGCGAGGAAGGGAGATCCGTTGATGCCGCAAGAGCGCTTCGAAGATCCAAAAGAGAACTGTTAATTTAGTCACGATACACCCATGACCCGGAGTTTTTTGACGTCGGAGAAATCAGTCACGTGGCTTCTTCATGAACCTGAACTAAATCATAAAGAGAAGGACACGTGACGGTGACAGAACAGCGCCCTGCCTCACACCGTCCTGTATCTTGAGCTCTCTTGCCCGATGATCCCCCAAATGCAGCATCGAAGTGGTTTCGTTGAAGCGATAAACTACTCCACTCTGATGTAGATTGCTGGGATGGAAGGTCAGAGATGACCATCAATGCTGCTGTCTTGGAAACGCCAACTGGCCTCAAGCAGCTCCTCAAACCAGAAACTTCGAAGAAGGTGCTCACCTCCGCAACTCCTCCACTCAGCGATCGTCGCGGCTTTGGAGGAAGGGACCAGTCTGCATCAGGTTACTAGTACTAGTACCGGTACCAGTATCGGCGTACCAGGTACTAAAAGAATACTAGCTAGCTAGTCATCAAAAAATTACTCCATGTGGGGCTAGAACCCACGGCCACACGATTAAAAGTCGTGTGCTCTACCTACTGAGCTAATGGAGCGCCATTTTCGTGATGAGAATCATTTTATAAGTAGTAATTTGTCACCGCCCGAACACTGTCAAGGATTACTCTCGCCGTTGTAACGCTAGCTAGCTAGCGTTACAGTACTGTAGGTAAGTTAGCTTCAAGGAGAATAGGAAACCTTTCTCGGGATAGCGCTCCTTGGGACCCGGGTACAGATGGGGGTCCCAGATTGGGCACATGATGCTTGGTGTTCCAGCACATCCACACAAATGAGTGGCCTTTAACCAGGGCAATTGATAGCCCAACTTCGATAGAACATCATCACATGGGAGTACTGGTAGCAGTGCTGAGCCTTGACATCAGCTACATATGGGCTTGAGCCTCCTTCAAAACCATAGTAGCTCCATTTATTGTTCAAACATAGTACGAAGTCGAATCGTACAACCAAATAGATTGCCCTAGTTTTATGAAGTCTCTACTTTTGCTAGCAGTGTTTGTCATCACACTGTACGTCACAATCTACATAAACCGCGACAGCAGATTGCTCAGCTTCTCTTCAGGTCCCGGTGTTGCATGAAAGTTGTGGTTTCCTGGAGTTACATCCGGCTCGTGGATACGAATGGCCAATCTCGTACCCATGTCAATCGCTCGTTTGGCATCCAACTCACCGGCAAAGAAAGCACCACCAATGGGATAGACCTTGGATTCCAGGTCTTCATGTCCCTTGGCACTCATTTCCAATTCTTTGCGTTCCACCTGTCCGGCACAAATGACAACATTGTCGACCTCCAAGACACGCTTCTCGCCATCTCGACTGATGTGCAAATGCCCGTTTTCGTCAATTTTCTCATATTTGACGTTGTCAATCATTTCCACATTGCCCTTGCTCAACGTGGCTCGATGAATCCATCCAGTTGTCTTTCCAAGGTTCTTTCCCAGCTTACCCTTCTTGCGCTGTAGCAAGTAGAGCTCTCGCTTGGGTTCATGAGTTTCCGGTGAAACCAGTCCACCTCGTTGTTCTTGCGACGTGTCAATGCCCCATTCTTTCCAAAAGTCGTCTACCGACACATCCTTGGAAGTCTTGTCTTGTCCATCAAAGTGCAAAAGGTACTCGCCAACATCAAACCCAATTCCACCGGCACCGACCAAAGCCACCTTCTTTCCAACCGGTGCCTTGTTGCGAAGGACATCAATGTAAGACAAGACCTTGGGATTGCCTTCCATTCCAGGGATTTGGGGGTCACGTGGGTCCACACCAGTGGAGACAATCCATTTGTCCACGGCATCTCCTTCTTGACTCATTTGCTCGTAGGTGACCTTTGTACCGAGTTTGATCTGGACACCATGCTTTTCCAGTTGGACACGGAAATATCTGATTGTTTCATAAAACTCTTCCTTACCAGGAATTCGCTTGGCCATGTTGAACTGCCCTCCAATATCATCGGCTTGGTCGTACAATGTCACCGTGTGGCCCATTTGTGCTGCTGTAATGGCAAAGGCACAACCAGCCGGTCCGGCTCCTACGACACTAATGTTTTGGCACTGCTCCTGTGGCAGTTTTCGAATGATCAATTCGGTTTCATGACAGGCACGAGGATTGACCAAACAACTGGCCGTCTTGGCCTTGAAGACATGATCCAGACATGCCTGGTTGCAACCAATGCACGTATTGATTTCTTCTGCTCGACCTTCTCGTGACTTTTTCATGAGTTCGGCATCGGCGAGGAAGGGTCTTGCCATGGAGACCATATCGCACGTTCCATCGGTCAACAATCCTTCAGCAACAGTGGGGTCGTTGATGCGATTGGTAGCCACCAATGGAATCTGCAACTCTTGTCCCAAGGCTTCCTTGAGCGCCTTGGTGGGAAAGGCAAAGGCACCGCGTGGGACCGACGTGGCAATGGTCGGCACTCGAGCTTCATGCCATCCAATACCAGTATTCAAAATGGTGGCCCCGGCATCCTGCAATTGTTGAGCCAATGCCACGCACTCGTCAAATGCCAAGGCATCATCGACTAGATCCAACAAACTAATTCGAAAGATCAAGATAAAGTCTTGTCCCACAGCTTGTCGTGTCTGTCGGACAATTTCCAATGCCATGCGAGCCCGATTTTCAAAGCTTCCACCGTATTCGTCCGTTCGCTGATTGGTTCGAGGTGACAAGAATTGGGTCAGTAGGTATCCCTCGCTGCCCATTATTTCGACGCCGTCATAGCCAGCTTCTTTGGCCAATACGGCACATCTAACAAAATCTCCAATGGTAGTTTCAACTTCTTTGGTGGACAATGCCTTGGCTTTGAAGGGAGAAATGGGAGATTGGGTGGCACTGGCCGATACACAAAAGGGATGATAGGCATAGCGTCCCGTGTGCAGAATTTGCATGCAAATGCGAGCGGGGACTGTTTCCGTGTCACTGTACCCCAGGGGTACTTGTACTTGATGTACGGCATCGGTGAGCAGTTTGTGTGTCACCATTTGATCATGAGTCACCAATGCCGATCCAAAGGGAGCCACAATGCCCGCATTGTTGGGTGCAATTCCACCCGTGACCATTAAACCGACACCTCCTTCGGCACGTTCTTGAAAGTAGCGAGCCATGCGTTCCATGTCGCTGTGCTCGTGATGCTTATCTTTCCCCATGAGCCAGGGAATGGCAAAGTTGGGAATGGTATGTCCTTCCAAGCCCGTGTGCATACTGCCCATCAAGGCTCGATTGGGGAGCTTGCCAATAGCAGGTCCAAGATCCAGAGGGGAGAATAAAGTGGGGTAGGTCCCGGCAGCAGTATCATCCATGGCCGCCATGGCCGCCATGGCAGATTTACTTCGGCGTGTTGCTGCCGTTTTGGCCGCCGTAACAGAACGTCGAGCGGAATGTAGCATTCTCATGATGATGCAGAAAATAACACAAAGGTATAAATATTGTTGATGTGTTGGTGGTCTTGCTTGAAGAAAATGAGAAACCTACTGCCAAAGAAGGATTGCCGAAGATAATGAAGAACAGCAATTTTTGCTGGCTAGCCCAAGAACTGTTGTATTACGTTGTCAAAAGAATAAAAGCTTGTCGCCACACTCAATGCTTGCAATGATGTTGCTGAAAAGAGCTTTTCGCGTGTTCCGACAGATCTTTCTCACTCTTTGACACTCCCGTCAGTGACGGCGAGGACTGGGGTTGGCAGCAGTCGTGACATTTTCTCGTGACTCCGACGGAAGCGTGACTTGCAACTGCAGTTTCTGGCTCAGGAAGTCCCCCGATGACATCACTTTCGCGACTAGAAAGCCAAGTCGCGCTAGTCGCGGTTTCTAAGTCGGGATTTTAAATCGCGACTTGAAGCCTTAAATCGCGACTTGAAGCACGACTTTCGCGACTAGCGCGACTTGGTGCGACTTTACTTGCTTTTTACTAGTGAAAAATCGCGACTTGGAACGACTTTAATCGCGATTTGCGCGACTTGATGCGACTTTGCGCGACTTGGAACGACTTAAATCGCGACTTGCACGACTTGCGCGACTTTAACGGCTTTTGCGACTTCCACGATCGCCAATCGGGGGACTTCCAGGACGTACAAGTTTTGCAGAGTACGGATTAACCCTAGAATGTACGGTGTTCGGCAATGGAGTTATGCAGAACAGGACTGCGGAGCTGCTGGGGATACAGCCCAGGGAGATCTACCGATAGCACAGTCCGGTACCAGGTACGTGTTGGATGGACCAGGACACTGTCAAGCCAGAGTTAGCTAGTAGCTAGAAGCAGAGCATTTTGCGTATGTTCTTATGTTCGTAGAAGGGGATACATGTGTTTCATTTACATCTATTTGTTACAGTCTACTATTAATAGCCAATTACTACCACAAGCAAACGTTGGCAGACCCACCACACCAAGACCTCGAAGAACAACTTGTACCAGGAATTACCACCAAAATACCAGGAAATTCAAAGGGAGTGTTGTCGTGTAGCCTCCTCCATCGACTGTTGCCATAGCGATTGATCGAAGCAGCGGTGTGAGATATCGAGTTTCAGCGGCCTTTCACACGGGCACATGACAGAATGAGTACCGACACAAGAATCACCAACCAAACACTAGGAAATGACAAGGAGGGTGAATCCAATAGGAGGATCCACTCTCCTCTGTGCTTGTGTATTGCCGTGTAGCCTCCTGTTGATTGCTGCCTTTCAATGACTCGACGATAGGCTCCTCCGTTTAGACTGTTGATAGGGCTTGAGCTAACAGTCTTCTCCATAGCGTCTTCTTGTTATTCGGAGCCATCGACCGAAAAGGACTCGACTTTACTCGACCAACTGGTATTTCCTCGGCCGTCGGCAGTGCAGTTCTAGCTAGAGAATACAACAAATGGATATGAGTTTTGTTTTCTGTGCTTAGCTGCAGGCAACCGGCGACTTACCCTTGTTCTCCAACTTGGCCGTCATGGGCAAGCTAGGGACTTAGCCAAATCCAGGACATGGGTGCCGACACAGGAATCATCACCGAAACACTAGTAAATAACACTGGAGAGATGAATCCGGTAGGAGGATCCACTCTCTTGTGTGTTGTCGTGTAGAATCCTCTTGTTGCCTTTCAATGACTCGACGACGATCCTCCGTTTAGGTTGGTCCTAGGGCTGGAGTTAAAAGTCTCCTCTCTGTCGCGATAGACCGAAAAGGACTCAACAATGGTATTTTTAAATTTCCTGGGTAATCAGCAGTAATAAGAGAACAGAAAGTAAGAAATAGATATGGTTTTCTCTTCTCTTCTGATACTGAAAAAAAAAACGGCGACTTACCCTTGCTTTTCAAATTGCACCAACTTGGCCGTCCGTGGCTGAGAACTGACTGCCATCCCATGGTCCATAGGATTCAATGAGGGATGGCTTTTGAATCTGCACCGGAGACGACCGGCTTGAGTGAGGCTTGGATAACAGAGGTGCGATCGATCGATTCGAATAATTAAAACAACTCACCTGTTGACGGCCGAGTTTGGAATTCTCTCCTGAATACCATACGAGATAACAGAAGTGCGATCGATTTGACGGCCGAGATCTGACGGCCTGCCCATGGTCCATAAAAATGAATGAGGGATGGCTTTGGAATCTACACCTTCAATAACATCCAACCAGCTATCTTGGTCGATCACGTTCCGATAAAATAGTCACTCCACCATCATTGTGGTGATCAAATAAATGAGAGGACGGCGTTCAGATCAGTTCTGTACCGGAGAGGATTGCCCTGCGCCTGATGAAGGCTTGGATCTTTGCTTTGGGTGGTGCAAAAGTTGCTGGGGGACTTATGGCTATGCATTTTCAAAGCTCATCAGAAAAACAAGCTCTCCTGTAGAACCATACTGTAAAACGTTTGCTTGAGTTTTGCACATTTGACAGATCCAGGGTGAGCTCTGCCAAACGCAATGATACTCATAGCCAACAGCAATGATACTCATAGCCAACAGCACCACAGTACCGAACCGGTACCAGGTACAACCAACAACAACAACTTGGAACAACAAACGTCCAAGTGTTCATTGAAAGAAGAGGTTTAGTTGGGATGGTATTGTATACCGGTAAGGTGTTGTATTGTAGTCCAATGGCATGCTTGTACTTCCTGGTACAGTACAGTCGTACCTCCTGCTCTCTCTTCCCCCTCCTCCTCTTCCTGGAGCTCGTGCAAAACTTGGCGCTGCGCGCCAAACTTGGCATTTTCTGTGATGGTGCGGAAAGTGCGTGAGGCTCCAAGGAGATCTCAGCCAGCTGAGTTACTAAATACAGTAGTAAAAGAAAGCATAATTGGCAAGGTGCCCTGTGGCAGGAAAGGAAACTGGTTTGATGCCAAATAGACAGTTTCAACTGGTCACAGCGTCACAGCAGCAGCAAAATACAGTAAAGCACAGCTCCATAAAGCACACAGCACTGGTGGCAGGGTGGTACAGTGAGTCGTCCCAGGTACCAACTGAGCAGGCAACAAGAAGAACCGAAAAGCACAAATGAACCAAAATAGCTACTGTGGCTGGGTGCATGTCATTGTCAGCCACTGTGGCAAACGGGAGAGGAATGGTTCAAACTAACTGTGCAATAAAAGTGGTTGGAAAAGAGACTTTGATGGCACAGTTGTTGGAATCCATGCATCGATGAGCAAGCCCTTCAACCCAGCTACAGCCAGTCGGCAGCAACCAGTACCATTGCCAACAGCGATTTATCAGCAACAACGGATTTGCGACAAGCAGCCAGGCAACGAACTATTAACAAACGACGCTACCGCAACTAACAGCAATCAAGTGCTAACTATCTACCAACGAACTGCTACCACTACCATACCGGGATCCACCGTTTCCATTCAATGACTCGACAACCATAGGCTCTCCTCGGTTCGGGTGGAGATAGGGCGGCCGGAGTTCCAGATTGTCACTATGCAGCAGCCTCTCCGATGTGTTTGTCGTGGAGCCTCCTCCGGTTGATTGTTGCCTTTCAATGACTTGACTATTCACGCAATAGCTTGCTCACAGCCAAGAACTTGGCGACACTTTTGCTCAGCCTGAAGATAGGGCTGGTGATATCAGTCTCCTCCGCTGGGATCGATCGACGGCAGCCTCCAGGGCAATTGATATACTCAACAACATTGGTACTTCCTTCGCCGTCAGGAGTAAGAGAATAGAAAGTCTGAAATATACATCAAAATTGTCCAACTTGACTGTCCAGGGTCGAGAAAAGAAAACCTTCCCAAGCTTGAAAAATTTCAATGAGAATGGCTTTCGCTTCTGCATCGGAGACCCTCCGATTGACTCAGACTGGGTACCGGTACCAGTACTGGTATGGTATGCGTAGTAGAGGTGCGACTGATCGTTGATCACTCGTTCAGCCAGCCAGTCGACTGCTGCCTGTCTAGCCATTTTAAAATAGAGCAGAGATGGATCCAACGGTTCGTTCACCAGGATTGGATCCAAGGATTCATTCCATTCAAGGTTTCGCTCCTATCCACTCGCATTATCTCCTCTGCGACGGGATACAGCTTACAATTCAGCTTTACAGCTTTACAATTAGCAGGCTTATTCTAGAAAATAATCAATAACTGCTCACTTATTTGGAAATACAAACTTTACATCTCTTAGATCGTTAGATTAATCAGTACACAATGGTATTGTCGCATGGTAGCATGCGAGGTTATGAGATGTTACTCATTCTTATTCTTATATGTCTATCCCTTATGGTTGTCAATGGAATGAACTATCCCTGTGCAGAGCCCAATCTCATCGGTAGTCCTTTCCCTTGTTGCAACTTACTTCCTTTGGATTCGCTCGAAAGCAATCCCCTTGTTGTTGTTGATTCGCTCGTAAGCAATCTCAACTACCCATTTCATCCTGTCGTCGAACGAAATCGCGATCTGGGCCCCTTTCCTGTTGACGATCGTAATCTCAATGAGGATCCTATTATCCGCTGGACTCATGCGACTGCAAGAGCCACTGCTGTGACTGCACGTTCGACTGCAACTGTTACTACCACTACAGTTGTCTCTATCACCGGTAAAGTCCAGTCATCGTTAACGCCTCATCGCGATCGAGTCCATTCCATGCTCAGCTTGAGCATCGCGATCGGCCGATCGCGAGTTAACAGAATCTATCGAAAAATGAGCTCCGACTGGATATGGAAGCCTCGGCTTGTGTGTCATGCATTGAATCACTCTTTATTTAATTCGGATCGCCTGAGCTTAAGTCTTTCCTTGAGTCATGCTTCAAGATCCTCACTTTTTCAATTAACTCGACGAGACGCACACTGATGTTGTTTTCGAACGACAACACGGAACGAGCGGCTTGTGCTTGTATTGCTCGACCGATCCATACGGTTGGTCTCTGCTTACCTAGCTTACCTAGGACTGGCATTGGTCGTTTGCACTGGCTTGCTGCATTGAACTGGCTTGCAGTTGGTCGTTTGAACGAACAGCGATCGATCGCTCCGTACGACGTGGTTCCTCGAGTATTTTGAATTCAAACTCGACCAATCCATCGCGTCGCTTGAATCCTTCGAAGCTCCCTTCGAAAGCTCATAAATTCCAGCTTCGATTGACTCGATTGACTGGCTATTATCCACCGCGCTCCTGCTCTTGTTGCCACTCTTGTTGCCGTCCTTTTGTTGCCACTGTTGCCATTCCTACTGCTCTTCTGTTGACCTTGTTGATTTTCACTGCCTCCCA